CAGGGTGTCTGAAACACCATTTGTATGTACACAGGAGGCTCGATGAATCTCATGCACTCATTTGTCTCTGAAGACACTTTCAAACACATACAAAAATGCAATACCTGGACCAAATAGATGCATTTCTATCATGGCTGCAGTAATGAACTCCAAAATTAGAAGTGTGTTAAAAAGAAATACCTGTGCATTTCTTTAAGTGCTCGGTCTAGTCATCATAAAACATCTTGTTTCTTTACATTAGTTGATGGAGTTTTAGTATTATTCAGTGCTTTTCTTACAAAGGCCTGCTGAGAAGCAATCAGGAATAGTGAAACTTGATGCTGAAAGATCAAGTTCAATTACTTTCTTATTTCATCTCAGAAGCCTGAGCTTTAATAAAACCCACACGTGCAAAAAGCTGCAGCTTGTAAAAGTTGCGGAGCACACTTCAAGAGCACCTGTCCATGAGACACTGACCCCAAGTGAGAATGCCTGTAGCAGAGACTGTAGCATCACTTGTAGATCCCTGAAAGGATATTCAGGTCCCCACAGCTATCCATTCTCACTTGGAAGCCACAGAGCTGCTTGTCTTACTTGCAAACCTGATGCAAAAAGCATTTCCAGAGCATGCTTACCACATGGACCCCACCAAAATGGCGGCCTGCCCCTCACACAGCAGCTGTGTGGTTTTTATCTGCTTGGATGTGTGGGAAATACCAGTGTAGTTCAAATTCTTCCCCACGTAGGTGAACACAGAAGAGAAGAAAATATGAAGAAATGTGGATCCACAGCGCAGGATTTTCTCAGAAGGTGTAGCAGTAAATGGGGATCAGGACCTCAGCGATGTGTGCTTCGTGGATGACTGACAGATCACACACACTGTGCCAAGTTGGCACAGCCAACCAAGCCGTTCAATGCTGACAGCATGGAAGTCTTACACCCTAAGTGCAAATATTGGTACTCCTCACGTTACATCGCTGTTATTTTGGGGAAAGCAGATATTTCTATAACATAGAAATAAAACCACGTCACAGCTCTAAATGAAAATCAAACGACATTTGAAGGAAAGGCTCGGGAGAAATGAAGCACCGCCTCAGCGCCAGCAACGCAGTGATGCTGGGGTGGATCACACTAATGACCCTTCCTTCTGCATTCTGCTATCACGGGGTATTCCTACCTCTAAGTGTCAGCTCTTCGGACCGCTAAAATCTCTGCCCTGGTGATTCTGAAGCAAAATATATCTTATATCTTGCCTCCTTCACATTTTTAATTCTACTTCCTCAGTACTTAATTCTATTGCCCAGAATACTTTTTCTTGATCCTAACTGCTTTCCTCATATACCTCTGAACTATGATTCTTTGGGGATAAGGCGAAAGAGTCAACACAGAATTCCAACGTAAGGTGTACCATCAGTTTCATGTTAGAGTTCTAGGGAAAAAAAATCCCATATTCTCAATGGTGAGTACATAATAAATAGAGCAGTCTTTTTAAAAGATTTATGACCAGATATCAAATTTAGCCTGTCTTAGGAGCCCAAGAGGAGCATAACTGACTCACTTCTTCTGACAGATCATTTTAAATGTAACATCACAAAATTTTACTAACATTGATCTTCCACTCTTCTCTGGGCAGATGTTTCTCACGGCCTCCTCTGGTTTTATCTAAACTGCGCTGTGCATATCTGCAAACACTGAAATATTTTCCTTCGGCCTTTCCTGTAATTATAAGTGTATCAGACCGTGTATCGGATAACAGCATGGCAGAATCTGTGGAGTAATTACATTGATGTTTATCTGTAACAGTCCACTGCATTAGCTTTATGGAAGTTCCACGGCTATACCACTAGAAAGTACAGTAACTGCAACTGGTTTTGAAAGTTTTCTAGGAGTGACTTAAGAAAATAACTGCCAGTATGGAAAGCAACAGTGTAAACACATCTTCCTCCTCCTCCTCCTCGTGTGCTTTTGAGTATGCCTCCTCTAAAATACACCCTGTCTATTTGTGTTTTGGAAGTCTCACTTAAAAAACAAACAAACAAACGAACCATAACCCTTAAAATTCTGAGAAAACTTTTGAGATGTCATATGGGCATGAAACCAAAGATGGCAAAGATCCTAAACTCTCACTGAAGCGCAGCCCAAGGGGCAACAGTTCAGCACAACAGTTCAGTCTTTTTGTTGTAACTGTGTGGATAGTTTGGCAGCATATTCAGCATAGGAAATTGTACTGTCAAACTGATTCGGTAACTTCCATCAAAACTCTGTTACAAAATACAGGGGGACAAACTAAATGACTTCAAAAAAAAAAAAAAAAAAAAAAGAAAAAAAAAAGGAAAAAAACCCTTAAACTAGTAGAAGTCCTTTATTCAGTAGGAATTGCATAGGTCTGATTCTTAGTTTCTCCGCCTAAGGGATTTTTTTTTGAGTCCATTCAGAGATTTAATAATGAAACTGAAAGAATGTCGCAGTTGCTGCAATTTACATGTATTTGGGTAACAAGAGGCTGCAGAAAATGAATTTCAATCAGACTCATTTACTGGTCAAAATACAAATGGCAGATAGATCTAACTTGAGAAGCTTGATGGTATAATTTATAACGTATTGTTTATTTTTTATACACAAATGTCACGTAAAAGAACCACAGCGACGTTTTTATAATCGACTTGGCTCTAGCTCTTCTGCCTATGGAAGATTACTAATAAACATATTAGAGGTGAATCGATCTGCATACTTTTATAAAACACGAATTTGCCAATGATGATGGTACTTTGAGTAGCATAGATTTCTAATCCTACGGTGCTTTCCACCATCATGAGAAGAAAACAAAAGGAGAAGTGGCTTATTTGGGGCTGAGCAGGAAGGCACCTACATTCTGTGCCAAAGGGTGCACTGAAAAATGTAGAGGAAGGCGCAGGATTGAAGCACATGGCTCGGAATTTGGTGCCTGGTACGAGCTGGTCATACCGGCTACACCTGCAGTAAGGAGCTCTGCAGTGGGGCTCAGCCAGGTCACCAATACAGCACGCAGAAAGGATGCATTTCAGGCACGAGGCATAAACAAGCGAGTATTTAATACCATTTTGATGTGAAGCTATTTTGTTAAATTGTAGGTTATTATTTAAAAGTGCAGAAGGCATTTACTCACGGAGGCACTGTATTTTGGCACAGTCGGCTCTTTCTCAGGTGGAGAACACACACAATAACAACAAAACAAAGTTGGCTGGCTCCATGGTAACATCCCTGTCTTCTCACCCTCGAAAAATTAATGGTTGGCTTCAAGAGTAAGAACCAACACTCACAAAAAGATGAGCAACTGGTGGTGATCATTCCCAATGGGGGGAGGGGGAGGAAAGGAGGAGAAATGAAACAAAACAAATCGACTAAGGAAGCTCAGTTAATGTTTTATGTTGCTCTCAACCCCCAGCCCCCAATATTGTGCTTCAAATATTTAGCTACATTGTCCGGCTTAGCGATTTACAAACCATAAATACTTCCCTTTGTCTATAAAGAAAAGCCCAGATTTCACAAGAAACAGAAAGCCTTTCACATCGAGAGCTGCAGCCAGCAAGCAGCGCACTTTCTGGTTACAGCATTATTAAACTACACTGATAAACTAATATGGGGAAAGAAAGCGAATTAAAAACAATAACGAACAAACAAACAAACAAAAAACCCAACACAAAAATCAAGAAGAAATCAAAGATACTACATTCTTGTTTCCCAAAAGCAAAGAGTAATTGAAGGACATTTGCTCTTAACATATCTGTATTAGGATATTTACACTTACTGAAGAAGGGGAAAACAATGAGAATAAAAATTAAAAAAAAAAAAAAAAAATTAGAAAACAGGCCATGGCAGCAAGTAGAGGAAATGTAAAAACCTTTGGTGCAGTTCATAAGTGACTCAGTTTTATGTCTCAGCATTATTAGCAGCAAATTCTAGTAATCTTTCTTTTAACAACATTATTGCAGTGAACGTATGTGAATATTCCCATTTGAAAGTCACAAAATGCTGTAACACTCTTCGTATCTGCAAAAAGAATACGCAGTGCGATCAGTGTTAAAACAACTGAATTACCAGAGTAAAACAATCTGAGATTTTCATTTTTTACTCAAACGATTATTATACTCAAAGAAAAGAATTCTTTTTTTTTTTTTTTTTCCCCCTAAATAGAGATATTTCAGAGTGAAAACGTCTTGTTAAAAAACATTAAATCTCCGTGATAAAACAGCAGTGATGCGTTTGTACATAAGGATAATGCAAGGTGACAAGATCACACGAAGGAGGGGGAACTATTTGAAAGCACAACACTTGAGACCACAAAAATCAGAGTCGGGGTTATTTTTCTCCATGTAACAAAAGCATCCTCAACTGAACTGCAACAGGCAAAAAAATAAAAATCCCATTAATCCCCCCCAAATTAATGCAGTATTTATTGCTGCTGCAGGAATTCTTACAACTGGCCTCAGCACGTCTCACCAAACAGTTACAACCCCGCATCTTCTCTTGTGGCTAGCAGGGCTTCATGTAAAGCCACAAATAAGCAAGGAAAAAATCAGATCTCATCAGTAAGAAGAAGCGGGATGTGCATTTGTGAGAGCTCTCATTAGGTGCCGTCTGGAGGACTGCTGTTGGTCAGGCCTGAGTCAGGGACTGGGATTCCATTTTGGGAGACCCTCTAAAATATTAAATCAGAGACAAAACCTTTATTTTAGCATCAAAACATTTCAATTCTGTGGCTGTATTTTGAAACACATCACGGAAAGTTACGAGCCGTTGCAGAACGACCAAGCTCAGTACATCCACAGCAGTTTTCATCTGCTTTCAGACTCTTTAACTGTTACAAATCCCCTCTTCCTCGTCGCGTAGTTGATGCTGTACATAAGTCTGCTTTCCTATATGTAAACATCAGGGGAAATTAAAACGTTAATCGCAGCATTCACGCAGCCCTTTGTTGTGAGAGCCACCTCCGAGAGACGTTACCGCACGCGTTGTACAGCGCTAAGAACGACTCGAGTCACTTCATTTCATCAGCCTTTATTAGACGCCGGAAGATCTAATTTTGCCATTTCGATTCGGCCGAAGCGTTTATTTAAAGAGGAGCCCAAAGACAGAACGGGGACTGTTACAAAAGGGGAGACGCGGACATTTTGAGACGCACGAAACGAGGGCAGCTCCGGACACAGCGATCAGAGCGCGCTCGGGGCCGGCCCAGCAGCCCCGGGCACGGAGGCAGGCAGGCGGGCAGGCAGGGCCGCGGCTCGGGCCCGGCGCGCCGCGAAACCATCACCGCGGATGGCTGCGCTTCGCGACAGCCCTACTTACCGGGCTGGGATTATGATCTTCGTCCATTTGCATTTATTTAGCCTTTTTAAATAGAGGGTGCCCACGGCCAGGCCTTGATTTATCTGTACCGCTTTCGTCCCGCTTTGGCCCACGCGTGCCCGCAGCCCCGCGGCGGCTCCGCACGGCCGGCAGTTACCTTACCGAGCGGCGAACCAAGGCGCCACGATCGCTCTGGCAGCGCTTTTGTGCGAGGAGGGCAGCGATTAGGGGAAAAAAATAAAATAAATAAAATAAAAGCAAGAAAGCAAGCAAGAAAAAAAAATTTAAAAAGCGACATTTTTTTGGTTTTTTTTTGTCCTAAAAGCAGCACCAGGAACCGCAGCACCGCGTCACTTACGCGCTCCGACGCCTCGCGGGGAGCCCGCGGGCAGCGGCAGCAGGGAGAAGGAGGAGGAGGGTCGCGGTGCCGCCCGCCCCCCACCGGGGCCGCGCTGCCCGGGGGCGCCCTGCCCGCTCCGCTCCGCGCTGCGCCACTCCGCTCGGCCACTTCCCGGCTCCCGCTGCCCGCGCGGCCCCGCCTCCCACCGCCGCGCGCCGTATCCCTCCGCGCTCCGGCCGCCCGCCTGCTCGGCGCAGAGAAAGCGGCCTCATCCCGCCCGCCGCCTTCCCGCCCGCCCCGCCTCCGCCGCTCCGACATCTTCTCCCCGCGCGAGCCGACCGGCCCGCCAGTCAAAGCGCTCCCTTCGGTGTCGGCGCGGCGGGGCGGGAGCCGCGGGCCGCCCGCCCTCCTTCCCCGACCGGGCGGCGGCAGCTGCGTCCAGGGACGCGGGGGGAGGGGCGCTGCGGGCGGCGGGGCTGAGGCGGGGGGCGCGGAGCGGAGGAGGAAGGGACTCTTTCTCCGGGCGGAGGGATCGCGCTGGCGGCGGCTGGCGGTGGCGGCGGCGTTGCGGGCGGCCGCGAGTTGTTGTTTCCTCCTCCCGCCGCCGCGCTGCCCGCGGGGCGAATGCCGGAGCCGAGGCGCTGCCCGCGGAGCCGGCGGTGACGGGCGCGGCCCCCCCGCACCTCCCGCTTTCCCCTCGCCATGTCCGGGGACGGCGGCGGCAGGCACACGGCGGAGCTGCGAGCGGGTGAGTGCCGGGCGGGAGGGGGAAGAAAGGGCGGGCGGGCGGGCGGGCGGCGGGGCCGGGAGCCGCAGCCCTCACCCTGCCCTCTCCCCGCAGAGCTCTACTTCCTCATCGCCCGCTTTCTGGAGGACGGGCCCTGCCAGCAAGCGGCTCAGGTAGGGACGCGCGGGCGGACGGGCGGGCGGATGGCGCCGGGCCTGGCCGGGGAAGGAGGAGGAGAAGGAGGGGGGGGGGAGCGGCGCGCGCCCACCGCCCCTCTGTCCTCCTATCTAATTTTTGTCTCTGTTTCCCCCTTCCCTGTCCCCCGACCCCCTTTTGTTGCTGCCGCAGGTCCTGATCCGAGAAGTGGCGGAGAAAGAGGTAAGCGCGGCCCGCCCCGCCCGCGGCCCCCCCGCCCCCTCCCTCTGCCTCCCGCCCCCGGCCCGGCCCCGCTCACGCTCTCCGCTCCCCCCGCAGCTGCTGCCCAAGCGCACGGACTGGACGGGCAAGGAGCATCCGCGCAGCTACCAGAACCTGGTAAGGCACCGCCGGGCCGCGGCCGCGCGCCGCGTGCGGGGCTTCGCTGCTTCTCCCTTTTATTTTTCTCCCCTCCCTGAGCTGCCTGTCCGAGAAAAATTGAATTTCCCGCAAAAAGAAGGAGGGGAGGAAAAAAAAAAAAAAAAAAGCAACTTGAAAAAAAAATTCCGAAGTTGTTTCCTTATTATTTTTTTTCTCCTTCCCCTCCAGATTTTTTTATTACTGCATTTACTCGCTTCTGTCGCGCCGATCCCCCCGCGCCCCTCTCTCCCCTCACGGCTCTGACGCGGCCGAGGGGCGCAGCGCGCGGCCGCACTGCGCGAGGCGCGGAGGCGCCGTGCGGGCACGCAGCGCGGCGCGTCACGGGGGCGCGCCGAGGGGCGGGGCCAAGCGAGGCGCGCGGCCGGGGCCGCCAGCAACGTCGTCAGCAGTGCCGCCAGCAGGCGGCGGCGCGCCCCGCGCCCGCGGGCACCGCGCGGACGCACAATGGCTCCGAGCCGCGGCGGCGATCGGCCCGGGCCTCCGTGCGCGGTGCCCGTGTTTCCGAGGTGCAGGGCCTGCTGTGTGCGGCAGTGGTGAGCTGCCGGGTTCTTAGAGCAGATGCAAGTTGTTTTGCTGTTGGATTACTTGTTTTTTTGTTTCGTTTTGTTTTAAATCCTTTTTTTTCTTCTTACTGTGTGCTTTCATAACAGGTGAGGGTCTGTGGTAGTAAAGGTACTGCCTTGCAGTGGTGTAATTCTTGCTAGCAATGGTGGGCCTGAACCTATCCATCCATCCATCCATCTGTCTATCTCTGTTTTCTAGCACTCTGTGAGCTGTGCTAGTTGAGAAACTGAACTTCAGGTGTCTGACACATGCCTGTTAGCAACTTGTTGCCCGTGTTGTTTTCTGTACCACGTTCTAATTCATTCTCTACCTGCAAATGACATACACCTAGGAGGCTGAACCCTGCCTGTCCCAGCAGAGCTTCTCTCCAGGCTGTGTGCGGTGGCTCTGAGCTCAGCACTGAGGTGTGGATGATTTTGAGCTCACACCACAGGGAAGAGAACAGTCCCCATCCCAGCCAATAAGCCCTGCTCACATGTGTGTTGTTCTAGACACATGTGGGTGAATGCCACAACATGAATCGTGGGTGCTGACTGCACTTAGAACAGTTTATATATTGTGCTGTGGTTGTCTTTTTCTAAACCATCAAGTGGGTTTGCCAATGCTTTGTAACACACGTGGGTGTCAAAACATTGATAGCAATTGTCCTGTTGAAAAAGTGTTCCTGGATGGTAATACTTTCCCATTTTCTTAAGATTAAAGATAATAAAGAAACTCTACCAGGAATTTTAAAGTGTTGATATTTCTGCATGATTTCTTAAACTATTAACAAATATTTTAAAATCAATTTTTTTTTTTTTTTTTTTTTTTTTTTTTAAGAACGTGTTATCCATTTCAAGTAACAATCGCAAATGACTTGGTAAACTTGATATGAACTTTTCTCTTAAGGTGTTTCATATTTCAAAGATTGGAGGTGCAGCTTTGGTGTGGGATGGGTTTGAGATTCTTTTATATCATCAGCATGTAAGAGACACGTGGACAGAGAAAGCGAGGAAGAAAAATTGAAAGGTTGAGCTAAGAAATCTTAAGGAGAAATGAGTTCATTCGGACTCTTGTTTCGAAGCATTTTTTGTTTGCTGGAATGTAGGTAAATACCTAATTTAGTCAGAGTAAGTATATAAGGATGTCAGGTGTACGTCTTACAATTTGGCCTCGAGTGTGAGTACGTATGTTTGAAGATATGGTAGTGACTAGATCCTTTCTCCTTTCCTGCTCCTTTATTCCTAAGAAAGCTTTCTTCTAGCGTTCAGCACCGATCAGTAAGTCTTCCTGTTCTGCTCTGTCCGACCTTGGAGTGGGAGAGGGGAGAAAAAGAAGTTGGTTACTTTGCGTTTGATACTGTCCTTCCTTGTGTTTGCTTTAGCTTCCCTTGTGGAAGTTGTGTGAACTTTGTATCTCTTGACGTTTCAGGTGCAAAAGCGTATTTGCAGGGTGTCGGTTACACTTGATACAAAGAAGTGGTTCTCAGGATGTCCTGTTTCATTAAACAAAAGCTTGTTGGTCTGTGACCTGAGAATCGTTAGCTGAAGCGAGAGGCTGCTGTTGGTTTGTTTGAACCTCTGTTTCTTTTTTAATACCCACCTTTAAGATGCTGATCCTTGTTTCTGAAGGAAGCAGTCTTTGTCATGTGTTGATGTTACCCTCGGGTACCCTGAACTTGCACTGAACTCTACAGAGGGGTCCGAGAAAAGCTAAGAATCAAAAATACCACTGAATGTAGTGCTGTAAAGCCTTTTGCTCTAGAGGGGCATAAAGGCTCTGTGCAACAGCTGATGGGATTTAAGCCCCAGTTCCCGTTTTATTATTTGCAAACTGATGCTACTTATTACAGATGTATTTATGTGGATCTTGCAGAGCGTGTATTTCTCAGCGAATGATGCTTCTGGTTTTGTCTCCTTTGTGAAAACATTTACTTAGGAAATCTTACTGGATGTGACTTTTTAATATTAGACTGAAATTCACAGTCTTCAATATTCTATTGCTGTAGCTCAATTGATGCAAATGATGTTAAACTTGTTAAAATTTTAACCTTGTAAATTACTTGGATTTTTCTCTTTGGTCAGCAAAAGAAAACTTTGTTTCCTTACAAGCTAATGCTGTTGCAGGCTTGTAATGCTACAAGAAAATACATGAATTCAGAAAAGCCATTCTGCTATGTTTTGTATTCTGAAGTGGCTTTCTTTCAACTCAGATGGTTCTGTATTTTTTCCTGCAGTCAGCATTTGGGGGTGAAGCTGTCCGATTCTTGCTCAGAGGCTGTAGGCTGTTACTTTCAGCGTGCCAGCTGAGTGTTTGTATGGTCGCTATTACAGTTTGTGTTGGGACAGAGGCTTTCTGACAGCTGTGTCCTTAGGAGTCTGTTTGCAGGTGACACAGCAGCAGGATGGTGGTAGGACTCTGCAGGTAGGGATGTTTTTTGTTTTCTTCTATCAGTTGTGAAAATTGAGCGAAGCACTGCTTTTCCTTTAATTTTGAAGGACTGGGGGTTTCTCGTGAGAGGGGATGAAAACTGAGGAGTCAGTAGATCACCGGTGCCGAGTTGGGGGAGCAAATTGCTTATAGGCTTTGAAACATTTTTATTAGGGCCTCGGCACACAAACAAGCCACGGTGCATCATTTGACACCGGGGTAATTGTTTTTTCATGTTCCAGTTCCATGTGAGTGTCGCTGATCTAATTGCGTGCCGTTGCTGAAAGCCGTCCAATTCTGCCGCATCCTTTATGCGCCCATCCAAGTGTGCGGTCAGTCGGGTAAGGGAGCTGAACTGTCTGAAAAATGAGCAGCACCAGAATGCTTGTGGGATGATTCAGCTCGAGCTCTGCGCTCAGCAGCGCGGGCCCCACACCGACGTCAGGGAGATGGTGAGGGCCTGGGAGTCTGCTGGGGCTGTTCCTTCTGGGGAAGGACGGGGGGCTTCAGCCAGCTGAAGGTGACTCGGGATGTGCTGTGATGATGTGAAGCTACCCTACGGCTGCTTTAGGTCTTCTAGAGTGCAAACGCAGTGCGTATGATGAGAACTCCTGCATTAGCTTCATTCTTATTTAAAATATCCACACAACCGTGGTGGTTTTTTTCTCTGTTGAGTTACAATTTCAGTTGTGTCGATGGTGCTTGAGGAAGGAGATGGCAGAGAACTCGCACCCAGTAGGATGGCAGTGCCATGGGTTTCGTAGGCAGTGCGGTGTGCTGTGTTGTTCTCAGAAATGTTTGCTGCTGTTTTGCTAGCATCTGCCACTTCCTCTTCCTCTGCCCTCAAATGCTAAATGTGATTCAAAGTGAAAATGACAATTTATTTTTAGGCCGTTTCAGTGTTCATTCTATGTAACTTCGTGCACCTTAGTGTAAACAGAAAGAGAGAATTGGTGGGACTGGGACACTGGCACTGTACACTGACACTGACCTTCATTGTTTGTGACACAGCAGAGTGTTTCAGGCAGCAGTATGGTTGCTGTTTAGTAATTGGTTTCTTAATAAGTAACCAAGCACTAAGTGATTCATTTCTTCAGGGAATCCTGTGCTGTGAAAGTATTCGAGAAACAGGGAGGAGAGGGAAAACTGGCACTGAATCCGACAGCTGCACCATCACCTTGTTCTAGTTATTAAATGTATTTTGATGAAGGTCTTGGTATTTTGGAAGGTGATCTGGAAGGCATATGAGTGATGGTAAGAAAACCTGTGAGGTGAGTTGGTCCCTGGCAAGGATTTGGGATTCATTTTCAGTGCTGCTATTGGACATACGTAAACTGACATGACTTTTAGCTCCAAAAGAGGAGCATTGCTGTTGTGTACATTACTCCCACAGCTAAGGACCAAACCACTGCATGGCAAAGTGAGCTGTCCTGCACTTGTTCCTTTGGACTGAGACTGAAGTGTTGAAAGATGGACCCCGGAGGACTGTTAAGATTCCAAAGTGTGCCTTCTCTTTGTCTTATTTTAAAAATTTTTAAAATTTCCTTATTTTTCGTAAGGCACGCTTCAGAATTATTTTTTAAAAGGAAAAAAACCAAAACAAAACATATGCAGTAAGTTGAGTATAGTTTACATGCAAGCCCAGAGTAACACACACAGCTGAGTGGTCCACCAAGCTGAAAATGCTGCTACTGTTGTTCCTAACTTACTGTGCAGTGAGTTGCAAACCTGCAGCAGCCTGTTTGTCTGCCGAGGCTTGGGGATTTTTATCTGCTCAGACCTCACCTATTAAAAGCACAAAATAGTTGAATAACAGGTTGTGTCTTTTCATAGAGCCATAGAGCCATAGAATCATTAAGGTTGGAAAAGATGTATCTTCTTGGAGTGGGTAGTTTTTCATCAAGGTCTGTTTATTTCAGTAGAGGTTGTGTATGTTAAAATAATACGTGTTCTGCAGGGGTTACTGACTTATCTTGTGAGGTCACAAATAATTGGGAAGTGTGTGAGAAACAAAAAAATGTTTTGGGCTAATTGTGAATTCTTCACAGAATCACAGAATGGTCCGGATTGGAAAGGACCTCAAGGATCATGAATCTCCAACCCCCTGCCACAGGCAGGGCCACCAGGCTCCCCATTTAATACCACACCAGGCTGCCCAGGGCCCCATCCAATCTGGCCTCCAACACCTCCAGGGACAGGGCATCCACAACCTCTCTGGGCAGCCTGTTCCAGCACCTCACCACTCTCATAGTAAAGAATGTCCCCTGACATCCAAAATCTTCCTTCCCTCAACTTAAAACCATTTCCCTTGTCCTGCAGTTACCAACCCTTTCAAAGAGTTGATTCTCCTCCTGTTTGTAGGCTCCCTTTAGGTACTGAAATTCTCCAGTTTCTACCTCTGTGTCCCGTTTTCCTTCCAAGCTGCCCCTCTCAGAAATCAAAGCGATCCAGAGAAAAGTAATTGCATGTTCCTGCAATTCCTAATGTTGTGGTGCTGAGGCAATAGCGAGCGGTACGGGCTATTTGGTTTGATTGATGGTCAGATGTATTGCAACAATTACTGTAATTCTATTTGGAGCTTGTTTTGGGTAATGTGCTGTATAGCAGAATAGTTAAGGCTGGGCTGAGTGCTGGTTTTGGTGAGATTGAACTCGCATCTTGAGATCAAGGTAGCTGACTGGCAGATTTTATTGTTGTCCTGCTGTGGAAATGTGTCCTTTGGAAAGATGTACAATGAAACTTATTGTTAAGCATATTAACTATTGGTGCGGGGGGAAAGCAGCTGCACTTTGGGGAACGTTTCAGTATGTGCAGTGCTTGGGGAAGAGTCCGGAACGGGGTTATCTTTTAGCTGGTGTCTGAAAGAGTCGGCACACAGCTGCGTTGTGCAGTGCCCATCTGACTGAGGAGTTAAGTTGTGATGCTGTTGATTCATCTGTTGAGATTCGGATGCTGAATTATTCTGCAGTGTCATGCAGAATGAAAATATGAGCACTTGGGCCTGGTTGGAAGGTAACGGTGCTTTGAGCGTCAGTCGCAGTGGCTGTGTGCTGTGTGTTCCCCTGCTGTTCTTCTGTCACAAGCAGAGCTGGGGTAGGAGGTGAGGGGCAAAGCTGAGGGTAATGCTTTATAATGCAATGTAGAAAACATTGGTCATACTTAAGATCTGAAATTTTTCCACTAATGAAATTCAGATTCCTGTTACGGTAATGTTTAAGAAACATGACGGAATCATCACAGAAGTGAATTAGCTCATTATTCCCCTTACAAAAGCATGTCCTATGCATTCAGAGTTAAATGCTGCAGAAATACTGGCAGGAGAAGGAAAGAAACCAGCTAGAATTTCTTCTAGGTGGGGCTGGCAGTAAAAAATATCCCTGCTTTTTATTTACTGTCTGACATCACAATTTCGACATCAAATTTTAAGATCTGTGTTTGTAGTCCAGCCTGCTTTCAGCTTAGAGCTGCGTGAATTGTAACTACTTGTACATCTGTTGTGGCTTTTTCCCTGCTTCCACTTTCTCCTTTTGAGATTAAGACGACTTTCCGTCATTCTCTTGGCTTGTCATGAGCTTTTCTATTTCTGACAAAGCTGTAAAGTATCCTTTTAAAAAGTGATTTAATTTCCTTTTTCGTCACTTAAATCTGACTTCAAAGTCTTTTTTTATTTGGTTTCCCTTCTCTCTCTGAGAGCACTAGGAATATTTGGTGTTGGTTTTGCTTCTTTTCACGATTTACCAGAAAGGAAGAAATCATAGAACTAAGATGAATTTCTGTGTTTAAGCACTTTTTCATTTTTGGTTTCTACTGTAATGCTAATTGTCACATTAACAAATTAATAGTGTTATAAGAGGATTATTTTCTTTTTCCTAAAGTAGAAGAAAGAAGTTTTCACCCAGAGAAAACTTAATACTGTGTTTTAAATAAATGAAGTCCCTTCATTTGCCTCTTTGTAGAAGCAGAAAAGGGAAGGGAGTGAGTAAATAACACTTGCAGTGAAATGAGACTTTTCACCTTTGTAGATTTTACAATGAAATGAAGCTTACTCTGCTTTTTTCTTAAAAATAAAATTTTTGTGTATGCTCAATCTCATAGATGTAGAATATATTTACTTTCCTCTTACATAGGAAAATAAGAGGCACGTGTTGACTGCATTTGGTTCCTGAATTTTTTATAAACTTCCTGGAACTTGCAAGTGTTACATGGGCCCATGCCACTCCTTAGACTTATTATTTTTGCTTTATTTCAGCACACAGCTCACTTGGTGTTGTGTTGGTTTGTTAACGAGCTGGGTGCAAGGGCTGCTTGGTGGCAAACTGCTTGTTAGGGAAATACTGCCCAGAAGCATCGCAGTGCCGCTTGGTATTGCTGCCTGTTTTCACACAAATGGGCTTAGACAAGAAGAGGATGTAGTGTGGATAAAAGGTTGATTTGAAGATTGTACCTGCTAATGATTAAGAGCTCCCTTATTTCAAAACAATTGCGTTAGGAATTGAGCCTGCCTTATTTCTGCTAGAAAACAAACAAACAAAAAATGAACACATGGCTTCTGACAAATCATGAGACGTGTGACTCAAGATGCAAGCTAGCTGTAATTGTGGAACGTGTCAAAGCTGATTTGCTTCATTTGCCTGAGATTTTGTGCGCTTGCAAGGGTGTGTAAAAATGAAGGGTGTTGAGCGGGATAAAATGGCAACTGCGTTGCACAGGGAGCTTAATGCTGGTGGTCGGATGAAAAGCATCGCTAATTGTTAGTCTTCGGGAGACAAGTTTGGATTCCACGGACACGAGGTCTGGCTGCACAGAGCTCTCGTACAAAGGGCTGTATTTGTTAGGTTTGTGTGCTGCTGATAGGAGCAAAGGAGAATAAAAACGAAGGAAATAGATCTGGGCTGCTGATGGCAGGAACCATGCATGACTTTGTTGCTCCTTGCAGCTATTCTAATATTCTGGGGCACTCAAGCGTGCATTCTGACTGCGATTCCTCCTTCTCTAAGTAAAGAGAAGCGAGTTTCATTTGCATGTTATTGATAAGGAAAATGAATCAGAATAGCAAGTTCTGAGCGCTGCGGATAATTTTTTGTCTCTTACGAGTGCCTGTCTGATGTCATTAAATTTACTCCAGTGAACTAATCTGTACCATCAGCTGTAACTTTCAAGTACTTCTCAAATAATTTCTAATATTTTTCAAGAGAAGCCTTTTTCTGTTTTTTTCCTTTGTTTTTAACCTGTGTGAATTTTGTAAATCATGTAACTGTAAGGCAAATTCAGGCATCTTGCAAGGCCTTCTGCAGGGGAACTGTAATTAACGGCAGGAGTGGCAGAAGAGACAGCTTTTCCTTCGTCACTTGAAGCGTGGGGTGGTGGCAATTCCAGGTATGAGCAGAGCTCTTCCAGGCCCTCAGACACGAGCAGTCTGTATGTTAGCAAATCATTGGAATACCTGAAGCAACTGCAGCGTGTCAGCAAGATGGGAGCTTGTTTGACAAAGAACCAGGTATATTCCTATTAATTGCAGTACAGAAGGACCCATCTGCCTAAAATGCCAGTCGTGGCCTTCTGTAGTTGCAGAATAACACAGCATCACAAGTTTTTACTGCAAGTCTTTTCTGCAAAGCAGTACTGTGAAGTCATGCTTCAGGCTGGGTGAAGGACAAACTACTGTGTGCCAGATCCCGTACTAGAGCAGAGGATTGAGTTCTCATTCTCCCTCTTCATTTTTCTGTTTTAAATATTCTTTTCTATTTTATTTAAACTGGCAATAACTGAAGAAGAAATATTTTAAAATGTCCATCTGAAAGCTTTGTGCTTAATAGCATGTTACTGTTGTCGTGCGTTTTGAAACTTTTACGTAAAGATGTATGTGGTGGTGTTGCAGAGGATGGTCTATAATTATGGTAGTTCAATAGAATGATCACATTGGTTTGATGATGCAGTCAAGTGGCAAGGAGATCTGCTGCTGAGAATAGGAGCTTGTTTGGTTCTGTGCAGCTGAAAACTGAGCAGTGACAGAAAGTGGTCGTGGCTGGTGGGTGTATTCCTGTGTTAAACTACAGTTTTTAAGTTGAATTCCTCAAGTGAATGTTTTGGTTTAGATGTTTTACATCTTTTTTAAAAAAAAAAAAAAAGGAAACAAGGCAAATTGTGGAGTTTCAGTAATGCCCCACAAACTTGGTGAGTTGAATGCCATTGTGCCAGGTGCATTTTCTGCAGAGCTACGTTACGTATTCAGTGTATTCGAACCTTTCAGTAATTTTGTAAACACTGCATTCCTTAGAGTCCTTTTCTTAATCTTATGTTATGGTAATTGAAATTGACCAGACAGACAATTAAATGTAATACTGAATTTGTTCTTATACATTTTTCGTTGTTATAAAGGAGCTTATTAGTCTATGAACAACTGTGCTTTAAAGTCACAGTAATAAATGTCAACAGATCTCTCTACAAGTAGCATACTTTGAATAGCAAATTTAATTAGGACCAGCTGGAACGAGTTATTGTTCTTAAAGGTCATTATATGTTTTTATCTTCTAAAGAAAATAATGGTATATGAATTTGTGTAACAATCAGAAAAAAAAAAAACAAACAACAAAAAACAAGCTTAGGAATTCTTCAGAAATATTACGCTTTTCTTTATCCGATGTTTTGCTGCTTCTTTTGTGCAATAGGTGAAATACTACCGACACTTGGCACCCGATCACTTGCTTCAAATATGTCATCGACTCGGGCCGCTTCTAGAGCAAGAAATCCCCCAGAGCGTCCCTGGAGTGCAGACGTTATTAGGAGCTGGCAGACAGTCGTTGCTTCGTACGAACAAAAGTATGAAAACTGTGTGAGAGCTTTGAGAATTTTTGCTATTTCGTGCCTGGGAAAATCCTGTTCTCCATTCTTTGTGTAATTCTTCTGAAACAGGTTGCAAACATGTTGTGTGGAAGGGGTCTGCTCTTGCTGCGTTACATTGCGGGAGGCCTCCGGAGTCACCTGTGAACTATGGCAGTCCACCTAGTATAGGTAAGTCAGTTTTACTGAGGCACTGCCACTGCACAACCTGACTCCCAGGGTAATTGACTGTCGTAATGATGAGTGCGAAGTAGAGTTCTGTTTGTCCTTGTTTGTGTCATATTCCTTGCACTGAATATTAATGCTTAATCAGATGTCATAACTGGTCATATTTGCATGTTTGTATGTGGAAGTTCTGCTCTGTCAATTCTGCTCTGAAGCTAGATATTTTTCTCTTCGAAGCATACGGCTGAATAAACTACATTTCAACAGTGAATAATACCAATAAAACTCATTTTGTTTAAGGTATAATAATGCTGTCAGTAGATAAATAATTTGTGCAGTGGACCAACTTAAAACCAGGACAGCATAGTTTATACCTGTTATTGGAGAAAAAGAATAAGTCACATGGACTGGTGATGTTTTCTTTGGAAAGTTGTGAGTGTCTTGTAGGAGTGATCATTTCTGCTCTCTGGTCCATTGAGTAATTTCATAGCTCTGCTTTAGTTGGCTGTGTTGTGTCATGAAGCATGCATATACATGATGTATATTATATGTAATAGGTATATCATTAGTTACTTTTTTAAGCTTTAGTTAAGGTGATATTTTGATCTCTGTTCTGTGTTAAAACTACCTGTGGGAAGAAAAACTGTCAAAACATGATGTATATTGCTACCAGTACTTCTCTAATATTAGTTTAGTCAGGGAGTGGTCTTTTTTTCTTTTTTTTTTTCAATTATGTACAGCTGAATGTGCAGAAAAGCATATTCAGAAAATCTTACAAGGCTTCAGAGTAGATCAAGCATCTAATTAGTTCTAAAAACAGAACAGTGGTTAGTTAAAGGTATGCCTTGAACAGGCTAATTTACACCTTCTTTCCTGAAAGCTGTTTAAGCACACGATTAGTCAAACATCATTTGACCTCTAAGTGTGTGTGTGTGGGGGGGGGGAGGACAAACATACATTCTCTAGAATCTTTCTATAGATGTAATGAGCAGCAGCAATGTTATACAGATTTCTTTTCAATCATAAAGCAAGGACATATTGCAATCCAGAATTCTTTTTTTAGATGTAGAAGCACTTTTATTTTTCTTAACACTTGGAAATTTAAGGACCTGGGAAACTTAAAGGTGACTGAATGAGTTGAGATGCCTCGAGGAGTAAATATTGCAGTAGCAGCAGGTTTCTGGGCCAACCTGAAGTTGAGTTGTTTAAGCAACGTTAATGCTGTGATGCTTCACCTTGCTGCTGAAAGATAGAAACCTGGTCTTCACAGCAGCCTGGCTTGCTGAAAACAGAGAGCTGAAGATACATTGGGAGAGCTAGTAACAATGTAGAAATGCACAGCTGGGTGCTCTTCAGGCGCACTCAATATGGTAACTTGCTGTAGCAGTTCTTGGAAGTTGGAACTCTGTTATTGGGATATTGTTACCCTGTTAGGTTTCTAATGAATGGGGATAAGAGCTCAATTTGGATATTTAGATTATTTCTAATGTTGAAGAATCGCAAAATCAAATATTAAAGACACATAATGTTTAATAAAATTACTCCCAGAGGATTATGGTTTTGTCCTATAGCTGAAGCAGAAACATGCTACAGCTAAGAAGCTTTTGAGGTTGAGCGCTGCCAACCTTGATTTGGTCAGATGGCAAAGTATTTGGTGTTCTAGTGGACTTGTTATTTGAAGGCTTTAAAGGAGTGTGGCTTTGGTGGGTATTTAGAACTAAGTTTTCAAAACTTCCTCACCTACTAAACGTGTTGGCTTGAGGCAATTCTCTTAAGCCCTACATCAACAAGATTTTATTTACAGATATCATTTTAATATTTAATTATAAAGAATTGCTTCCATGTTGTATTCTAGATGTGGGGGAAGAAATGTTTGTTGTTGAATACTTCTCATCTCAAGTGTCTGTGCATTGTCTCGAACACTGAAAATTGGAAAATCTTGGGCCAGGTGAGCAGCCTTACCTGCAAGGTGTGTGGAAGACAGAGTTGTCTGATAGTGAAGGTTTCCTTGGTGGTGACTGTCTTGATTTTCTCTGTACTTGGCATGTATACTGAAATGTGCTTGAAGAAAAAATTAGAGCAGAAGGCTCTGTGTTACTTTGTACTGTAGCTTAATCCATGGTGTGCTTTTTTTCAAGGGACAGGACCAGTGCATGAGGTCTGCCACTTAGGTATCAAAGGAAGTTGTAGAATTGCCATGTACAGAAATTGACTGTTAGGAGAAATAACTCTCAAGAGTCTTTTTATGGAAGAAAAACTAGGGCTTTCTAGGTAAATGTTATTTTTATGGAAACTTTTTGCAGAGCACCGAATATCTGCAGAATTACAGTTACTTCAACGTACCACTTTTTTTCCATGACCAATAATTTCCTTTTCCGAACATCCAAATAAGTGCTGGTAACTGCATATTTTCAACTGTTTTTTGAATGTTTGATTCAGACCTGTGTGTGAAAGCATTTGCTTTTGATTAATCCTATTCTAGTCCAATCCTTGCAGTGAAACTGGGAGTTGGAGTAACACTTAATTCATAAATTGAAATTATTCTTAAGTAAATTCCTGTAGGAAGGCTGTGTTTTACATATTTGCTGTTTGGAAACTTATTCTTCAGGCTGCGTATATTTCAGTTGGAGAGCCCACTAATGACTGGGGAGTGGAAAAGAAGTCTGTCTGTTTTGTGGAGGCTTTTTCCTTTATTTACATATACTAAACATGTAGCTATATTTGTTCATTTCCTAGCTTTAGGAACCAATGCAATCATGATACTGTTATTATATGCTTTAGTATTAATTTTTTTTCTACATTATGATAGCAGCCTTGTAGCTAACTTATATGCACTTAAAATACATCTGGACAGGTACGTACTTCACCAGAAATCTACAGTGTATGTCTAGAATATAATAGAAAACCAAAACTTGTGTAATGAGTAATCTCTCTCTGTGTTTAATTAAAATCAAAAAGGAGAATTGGAACTCAATAATCTTTAAGGTCTCTTCCAACATAAGCCGTTCTATGATTCTTTTGTTTTGTTAAAGATCCGTAAAGACCTTCAGGGATGCAGAAGCAGAAAAAGGAACTCTTTTTAAGTAACTTTCAGGAGCTCTGGAAAAGCACAAAGCCAAAACTTGAAGTTCTGAGTTCAGAGCTCTTAGGGAAGCTGGTTATTCATGTGTGAAGACCTGAGTGAGACTGGCTGCTCACTCTCTGCTAATGAAGAATATGTTCCCTGGCTGATTAATGCATCTGCCTGGTTTTGCTGAATAGTCCACTTCAGGAAAAGTTCTGAGAGATTTTTTTGTTTTCTCAGTTTCTCTATTCAGTTATCCTGCTGTTTGGGCTGAAAACAGAACACCATGTTCTAAAAGCAGTGCAGATGTTTGTTTTCAGAAATTTAGTAAATACTTAAGGCTTAAAAGCTAACTTCAGACTATGCTGTATAACCATTTCCCTGTGATAATAAAAATAAACCCAAAATAAACTAACCCAAAAGACCAACTTTTAGTTTTTTTATACTACAAATGTGATACATTTTCAAGTACCTGTGTAAAAGTAACATTTGTTATTTATTCAAGTCTAAAGAAAATTATACTAAAATGGAAACCTTTTGCAAGAAGAAATAAGAAGTCTTAAGGTACTCATATTTTGAGTGAAACTCAATGGCTAAATAAAACATGGAATGTAAGTGGGGTTATATTGAAGTCAAGGATCAGGTTGGAAGTACTTAGGATAGCTTTCATTTGTTGTTGCCTTTCCAAGTGTCTCACCTCCCCTCTCTGAATTGTTAAGGATTTGACACCTAATTCCATTGAGCAAATTGACTTCATACGTGAAGCTTAAGATGTAGGTAGACTCTGTATTCTCAGAAACACTCCTGTGGGGAGTCAGTATGCTTTAACTTTCCCATAGACAAGTCCTGACTCGCTCAAATTGCTAGCTTTACCATGGTGGCTGTTACCTGTGAGCCAGAAGATTTAGATTTATGCATGGAGTTTAGAAGCTGAACAGAGAAATAGCAGAAAAGCAGAAGTCAACTCAAGCTGCCTTCTTGACTTTGAACATCTTTACAGAAGGGGCATGGGGGAGGAAGCCTGAATGCATGGTGCTTTTAATATTACTAGCTTTGACAGTAGAAGGAGGAGTCAGGCAGTCTTGCTTTATTGTTTTTCAACAGCCCTAAGTGCTGTAAGGTCATTAGAGGTGTGACTAGCTTCTCAAGTTATGAAACTCGATTCATTATGGGTAGGAGTTGTAAATAATGTGTTCTTCAGGTGTCCTTCCAGCTTTTTCTCTTGAACCAGATTCACTTTTTGTGTGAATGGAAAAGGAACAAAGTTGGTTTCTGTTCTGTGGAATAGAACTTTCGTCGATTGAATTCAAGTCCAGAATGGAAGAAAATAATACATAAGCCGCAGTGATTTTGTGCATGCTTTTAAAATGCAACTTATACTTGGTTAAAAAAAAAAAAAATTATGTTGTTTATCAATGGGCAAAGCACACTGTGCTCCCTCATCTTTAAAAGGCATATTTATGTTCCAGGGCAAAACTATATAAATAAAGGGATCAAATTGGTTGCTTTGATAAAACTAAGATAAGAAATCCATGGGGGAAATAAAAAGATCAACGTAATTAATACAGCTATGTCTGTCAGATACCAGCATTTATCTTGATTATATAGATTGCCATTTTTGTTGCTAGTTTTGTTTTGGGTACTGGGTGAGATAGAGACATTCTAAAACTTTGGAGGCATTCAAGTTGGTGCCTGCTGCATGCCTTTTGAGTAAAAGAAGGCCTGTGACAATTTTCTTCATGTTCTGTTGAAATTTCCTACCATTTTGCATTCAGCAGCTTTATGTTTGATTTTGAATTGTTCTGATTCAAGGCAAACAAAGTAAGCAAAGTAAGGTGATCTTGACTCTGAGGTGTGCGGTTTTCAGATTTATGTTGTTACTAGCACTGAATCATAACAGTAGGAATGAGATTTAAAAAACAAAACAAAACCAACCAAGTGAAGTTCAATTTCACTAGGTTGTTTTTAATATCCCAGTTTTCCATTCACATCAAAAAGACTTTGACTTCATCAAAAAGAGGTGGTCCTTTCTCACTACTCAGCACTGGGGAGGCCATGACTGGAGTGCTATATTTGGTTTGGATGTAAGAGAGAGTTGTGTTGGGAAGAGTCCAGCATGGGGCCGTGAAGTTGATGAAGGGACTGGAGTGCCTCTCCTCTAAGGGGAAGCTGAGAGAGCTGGGAGAAGACTCTCGTCAGTGTGTATAAATACCTGATGTGGGACACAAAATGAAGAGTCAGGCTCTTTACTGTGGTGCTCAAGAGGCAGTGGCCACAAACCAGAACACAAGAGGTTCTGTCTAAACACCGGGGAACTTTCATTCACTATAATGTTGACCACAGACTGCCTTACGAAGTTTCCACCTGTTGTGGTTTGACCCAGCAGGAGGCTCTGCACCACAAAATCGTTTCTCACTCCCCCACTTCTGCTTGATGTATGGAATATCCCTTTGGCCAGTTTAAGTCAGCTGTCCAAATTCTGTTCCCTCCCAGCTCCTTGGATACTTTGCTGTCAATGGCCTTGGCTCTGTACAATGCTGCTTATCTGCAACTATAAACATTGGTGTGTGTTACTAGTATTGTTTTTCTCCTAGAACCAAAACACAGCATTATACCAAACACTGAAGAAAACAGTTCTGTCCCAGCTGAAACTAAGGCACTGTCCTTGGTGATACTCAAAACCCAACTGGGCTCAGTCATGGACACCCTGCTCTGGTGTCCCTACTTTTCAGCAAGGGTTTGGACCTAGTGTCTTCCAGAAGTCCCTTCCAACCTCAGACAAGTTGTGATTCTGTGATAGCAGACAGTTACAGGACTAAAACCTGCAAGCCAGTTCATTCTGTATTAATAAGCAACTGATAATTCATAACAACTTAAATAATAACATTCTGTGGAAATGTGTGTTTTACGTGTTTGAATATCTGTAGTGTATGTAGCTTTCTAAGGCATTGTTTTTTTTCTAATGAGGCAGCTCCAGTATTTACTAGGAAGAATCCTGATTTTCTTTTTTTTTTTTTTTTATATAACCAAAATGTCAATTAGGACTAAGTGAAATGTTATTCTGTGTTGTACACACAACAGCTGGTAACATCTGTGATTTATTTTTTTCTTACTAAGGATCAATCTTGTGCATGGGTACAAGAGGCATAGAGAGCTAAGATAATTTTAACTTCCTTAGTTGGCCAGGCATTGGGTGGTATTTATTTCTGTAGCATACACTTCACAGTGCTTTTCCAGTAAGCAAAAGCCAGCCAGTCTCTGCTGTGTAGCTTTGTTCTCGCATCAAACCCTTCTTTATTCTCTTGGTTGACACAATGTTCTCTTAAGTGTTCCTTGGATAAAGTTTATACTGTTGCCTTGGCTGGTTATGTACTGCAAGTGGCTCCCGCTGCAGCTGTTCAATTGCCTATAGGTTGTCCCTCTTCCTGTGATTGAATCATCACCTTTGCTCATGTTGACTCAATTGTGTGAAGCCAAGCAGAACCTAAGCAAAAGCAGAAAACTGCTAGTAGAGCTCAAATGAGAGTTACAGGAGTAACTGCTGTACAGGAGTTTCTAAAATCAGTCTTCCCTAAATACAGCAAAAATCAAGCTAAAGTGGCTTAAGGACTATACAAAGGTGGTAAAGCCAGATACAAGTAACTACTCCTTTAAACTTAAGACATATAATTAGTACGAAGGCACTATTATTAACAGTTGGTAGTTTTTCTTACCTTGACTTGCACTGGAAAAATCAGTTTTACTGTTCTCTTGCATAAGATGTGGCTGTTTTTCTTTCATTTTTGCCTGTACTCTGAAGGAAAAAAGCAGTGGGTCCTCTGCTAACAAGGTGGGCAGGTGTCACCCTGGAGCCATAAACATTTGGAATAAAATGTGTAAATACTTCTAGAGAAGTGAGTTGAATCCCTTGGCAAAGTGAATGAGATTAAATAAACAGCTGTATTGAGGAAACTGAGGAGCAACGATAGATGCAGTGATAGATACAGGTTTATAATGCTGCTTTTTGCCCTGTAAAACTAATTTTTAGTTCACTTAGATTCATTTTGAAATGGTAATGCTTTTTTTTTTTTTTTTTTTTTTTTTTTTTTAAATATAAATTTTAGGCAATGCAAATTTGTGAGACTTGGTTTTCTTATTTCCACTGTCACTGCGTGCTGCTCCTATTTTGCAGTAGGCTGATGTTACTGAACTGGGGACACTTCATCTGTTGAGATCCCCAGAGATCTGTGAACTTGTAGCAAGTTGCCTGTCACTGTTTGACAGCAACAAGAATATCAGCAGAAATATTGGCTTAAGCTCTGTTTATTTACTAATGGAGATTATTAAATTAATATATATATCTATCTTTGAAATCGATTTCTATTACATTTGTAGAGTTTTCCATAAATTCAGGTGTTAGAAGTTAAATGCTTGGATGAGTTTGTTGTGTTTATGTTAAAGAATGCACTTGTTTTTAAACTTACTGGCAGAACATATCTACAAATTAAACTCTAGCTTACGTTTTTTTCTGTTACGTGAGCTATGAATTGATTTGAAGGCATTGCTGTAAGCTGATTTCCAAGCAAGAATCGTCTTGTATTAGGAGCAAATAAAAGGTAACTTCTGAATAGGCTGAGATTGCGGAAGATCACTTCATTGTTGTCACAAATACTTTTCTGACTTTGTTTTATTCTTTGTGGTGGGTGTGGGATGCCTTTTTACTGTAGGTTGATGTGTCGGAAGCAGAAACTGGATTTATCTTGTGACTGAGCTAATCTGGGTTTCCTGCTGTTTTGAAGTAGACTTTTGGCAAGCAGAAGCTTTGTTATAAAGCAAATGCAGCTGCATCTTGTTCTTGTAGAAGGGTAGGTTGAAGAGGTTATAGCAGAGCCTTAAGGCAGTAGTGTCCATTGAGTTGGTGCTTCACTCTACAGCTAATGATCCTTCTCCTTCACAAAGCATCTCGAACAAGGAAAACTTCCTTGAATCCTTGGGCTACATATGCAGTAACCTAAATGTTTCAGGGCTGTTCTCATGGCCTGAAGCCAAAAGTCTTGGCAGTTATCCATACCACAAAGTGCTTTTGCTCCTATGTAGAGCAGCTGCTATCCAGTTTGAAAGAAGTTTGACCTGTGCTGACTCATGAACTTCTGTCTCATTTGCCTGGGCCAAGCCAGGCAATGCAAGAGGCTTGTAGACAGTTGATGCTAAAGGTTATTGAGTGCCTAGACCAGCGCCCGGTCCTGCTTACTTCACTAGGACAGGTGTTGCCTTGGTCCAGCGTAAGGAATGCCTAACCAGAGTAATAATGACAGTAGCAGCTACCTGTCTTGGAAGTGATAGGTCTTTGTTTTCATGCATGATGCTGTGGATATTGCTGGGCATTTATTTTTTATTTTTTACTTCTTGCATATTGCTGGTCACAGTTGTATGAAATATAAAATATTTTATGCCATTTTGGCCATTTTTTTCTTTGCTCTGATAATGGTATGGGGAACCGTTTGGCTAACGTGTGTGCGTATCCATGCATTCAAACAGTATACTCTGTTGCTTTATCATTGTGTGAATAGCAGTTTAAAATTGGAAATGCTGATGTTTATTTTGAATGAAGATTTCTGTTTTGTTACAACAAAGGTTTCTGGACCTCCCTGGCTTATAACTTGGGGAAAAAAAAATAACCCAAGTTCTCTGAACAAAGTTCTGTTAGTCAGAATCGGAGCTTTCCATGAGAATTTGCTAAGTTTGATCATCTTTGGATTTTGTTTGCTTGTTTTGTTGTGGTTATTCTATTTTTATTTTAATTTTTTTTACCATAGTAAGTAGTAATATTATTCAAAACAAGAGTTGTCTTTTAAAGGTTGAGTAAGTGATTGTAATTGTCTAAAAACATGTTGTCCTGTAGAAGACTTGAATGTTTGCTGGTCTGCAGTTAATAGCTATGTGGATACTTGTACGCATCTTAAATCTGAGGTAGTTTTCTCCTCTGTAGAAGCTGTTTTGGTCCTGTTGAATACCATTCTAGGTATAAAATAAGAAGCACACATTTGGGCAATTAAAATTGGGGGTTTGATGTATCATATCTTCATGCTCTGCCTTGCACTTTAGTACTTTTTCTAATGTTTGTATCATAGGCTGCTTTTGTGTTATATTTTTCCCCAGTGATAGTAAATGGAGAGAGTTACTGTAGTAAGGTGTTCATGTGGTGCAGTGCTGCAATGAACTTTCTCTTCTGCAGGTGTGTTTTGGCTTATGAACCCAATATAAATATCTTTTCCTTTTTCTTTCCCCATTTGGTAGTGGATACCCTATTCTCAAGAAAACTGAATGGAAAATACAGACTTGAACGCCTTGTTCCAACTGCAGTCTACCAACATATGAAGATGCATAAACGAATTTTAGGACACTTATCTTCTGTATACTGTGTAACTTTCGATCGGACTGGAAGGCGAATATTTACTGTGAGTATAAATATTTTTTGTCTAATTTTTTAGAGTATAGATAGCATAGTTGCCCAAACCTGAGTGTGCTGACATCTATTAGTACCAGATGAATGCTTTGCTGCTGTTACTTTCAGATGAATTTTCATAACGGTGCCAGTTTACATGTTAAGATAATTCAGCATATTGAATGTGCTGGTGACTGCTGATCCATGCAGTTCAGTCAGAAAACTGCAGTTATTTTCCATGAAATTACCTTGTGCAGATTCTTTCTTCTTCTGGACTTCTCTAGGAAAGGCAAAAACTTCTCTAGGAAAGTTCTTTTCTCTCTAGGAAAGAGAAAAGAACAGACTGCTATCAGGGAATTTTAGAAGTCAGGGTAGGTAATCGTTTTGTAGTTAGATTATTTTAGCCTTTTTTCTGTAGTTTTTATTACGTTTTAAATTACTATTAATAGGCTGGTAGATTTATACAGCATGTTGATGATAGAAGGTTGAAAATAGCAGTGTTTTATAACAAATGTTGGTTTATGAGGAATTGTGATCTGTGAGATCCCAGGAACTGATTTTTATAGGAATGTTATCAGTATTTATAGCTAATTTCACTGTGTTGCTTTGGTGGGTTGGTTTATTTTTGCTCTTTTTGTTCTTTACTCTGAGGATGTCTGAAATCAGTACTGAAAATTTCTTAAAGAATGTTTCTTAAAGTTTCTTAAAGAATGGGAATTAGGAGAAATGATGCACATCAGTATAATTGGATTCCTTAGTAAGGAGTCAACTTCAGTAAAGCCAAGGATCATATAAATGCACACCTTGTGTCAATCTGGAATGCTCTGGTGGCATTTATTGCCTTCTCACTATTACTGGATTCCTGTGGTGCGTTTGTGGATCTGGGAGCTTGTTTGCACTCTTTGGAATGCCAAGACAGACAACTTGAGCACTGCAGGTGGAAGTGCAGTTTGGTTTGACACTGCAGTTCAAACTTCTCACATGCTTTTAACGTGGTTGTGAATACAATTTGCCCTTCTGCCCACATACAATTTATTTAATTCACTGTGTGGAAAAATGTATAGCTGCGGGGTCTGTGGCACTTATAGAAGTACAGGCAGACTTCTGTTTGTTTACTTGTTCATAGTAAAGATTTGAAAGCTAAATATTTCTTTAGCTTTCATTGACAAGCTAAAGTCCCTCAACAGTCATAGGCATTAAATTCTTACCATGTCCTCTAGTTTGTGCATGATTCACCTGTCAGAAAAAGTGTTGCTCTGATGCTGTGGGCTTATTTTAGATGTGACAAGGCAGAATGGGTTAGGGATTTTGTGTGCAAGCATAAAAATCCCCAGTGTTCGTCCTATTCAACTCTACGTAGAAACTTCTGTTTGTGCTTCATTGAAGTGCCTGGAACTCCCTGTTAAGGTCTTATGATTCATCATTTTCTTAAATCCCATGTTTCTTAAATCTGTTGTCTTTGAGGGACTTACTAAAGTTCCCTTGAGTGCATCTGTAATGAAGAGTAGAGTTGCACATTCCCTTGTGTTTTGCAGTGTGACTTTAAAGTGGCTAGAGAGACATTTCTCTTGACTATAACAACGGTTTATTTCTAAAAGAAAAGTAGAAGAACCTGGAATAAAATGAGGGGAGCAGTTGTGCATATGTAACCCCTGAGCTCTGCTGGCAGTCCTTTGCTGAGAGATAAAATGGTGTCCAAGGTATAATTGCTTTAAAAAGATCTTGGGTTCAGATCAAAAGTATTTCAATCTGGTGTTGAATAAAGTGCCCATGGAAAGTAATTGTAGCTGATGGATTTTCCTCTGTGGGGCTGGATCAAAATCTTTTACCTCAGTGTTATTGGATAAATCCAGTGTTCTTTGTGTAGATGTTTAAATGTCTGTTGGCAAACAGAATACCAAAGTGTTCTACTCCATATTGCAGTAAAATCCAAGTTCTAGTTGCTGTGGTGATGCAATTTGTTGATAAAGTTGGCATATATCATTGAATTTATAAACAAAAGGAAGACAGATTTCATTCTAGACATGTCTGTTACCAGCATATAAATTTGTGTGTATCAATAGGGAATTGTTCTTGCTCTGATTTTTACTCTGTAACCTCCAACATTTAGTGCAACGTTAGCTAGGTAAGAGATTGTTTTAGTTTTACGATTGGTTGTAGAAGCTGCATTTTCCTTTCCTCTGAAGGACTGAAAGCCTCCACATTTAAGTTCTATTTATGTGCTGCTTCAAATTAAAAGAAATAAAAAGTGATCTCAGCACATTTTTGAGTCATACTGTTCTGAGAGATGTTATCTTTGTTAGGAAGAAGATGCTCTTGGTTTACCTAACGACGGTGAAAACAGGACACAAAACAGTTTTCCTGCTAGCTAGTAGGTCATGCATTGACTGGTCCTATTTACCTTATGTTAAAGATTTCACAAGAGATTTCCAAAGATCAGCCTCTAAGATGTTTTTAATTTTTTTCTTCTGAATATACAAAAATATTCCCAGTATACAAACCTGATGTTTTCTGTTTTCAACCTAACTGCAATGAATACAGCTTTACTTGCAAAGACACAACTGAAGGAACTGTCAGCCTTCAGTGAATGAAACCTTACTATTGGAGGCCGTTTTGGATCTCTTGGAACCATGTGCTAGCGATAGGGGCAGGCATTGCCTTCTCTGGTTCTTGTACTGCTTGATCCTTCCAAATCAGAAAGTTGCCAGTGTTATTTCCCTCATCTTTATCTTCCTGTCTCCACTGAGATCCTCTTTCTAGGGAATAATAATAAGCAGAGGAGAGTAATAACCTGTGGTTGGAAAGAGACCGATCTGTATGGTTTTTGGCAGTTTCACTGCAGCCCACAAGTCTCTGTAATGGTAGGAAAGTAAACCAGTTTTACTCCATACCTTGGTAATGCTGTCATCAGTTCTCTGTAGGGCCTGAGCCTGTTCTAGGATTTGTTTTTGACAAATGCTTTTAATAGCCACATAATTTGTAGTAGTTGCAGACATAACCTTGGAAACAGAAGCTGTGGTGTAAGCTGATGCCCTTGCTGGTAGAACTGGAATAGTATTTTAAGAGTTGTGAATTATCCCATTCAATTCAGACAGAATCTTATGGATTTATTTGAGCTCTAATATTACTATCTTGCCAAGATGCTGCAGAATTTATAACTTACCGTAGTTATTTTTCTTGCTGAGACTTGCTAACAGTTTAATTTTCCTCTACAGGGGAGAGGTACAGCACATGCCTCTATAGCTGTCCTGGAGCCAGCTGGTAGGAAGCAGTCTGATTTTATGCTGATCTGCTTTCCTCAGTTTGCTATTAAATAGACCTCTGAGGTTTCTCCAGGTGGCATTAGGTCCTAAAGCTAGCATTCTTTTTCTCTGTTTCTTTACTTTTTTTTCTGCCCTTGTTTCTGACTCTTCTGCGTCTCTCTTTATCTATGCACAGATTTCTCTCCATCAATTACATTCGGCAAGCAGCTTTTTAGGGGTCTTGTAATGCGAGGTTTAGTTTATTGGGTTGTCTTTTATTTGTTTACTTATTTTCTTTGAACAATCTGTTCATCCAGTGGAATGGCTGCAAGCTGTAAGTGAATAGCTTATTCATAATGTTGATCCTTACGATGTGAGAACTGCAGAAGCATGTTTTATGTGATATGTACAGTGCTGTAGAGAGTATTACTTGTGCAGCTCCAAGAAAAATGGGACTGGTGGTTTGAGACTTCTACACTGTGATGCAAGTAATTAATGTTAATGGATTGGCTCTGTTCTCATGCATTTATTGCTTTGCGTAAGAGATTAATCCACTTGTGTTTTCCATCCCCACGCTCCTGGAATGTTTGGAGGTTTTGAGTTCCTTTGGAAGTTTTGGGATCCCTATTCTCTTCTTGCTTCAAATCTCTGTTTTGTGGCTGAAAGTATTATTTATTATATCTATCACATGAATTTCACTCACTCCACCCCTTTTTATCTCTTCTGTGTTTAGGTTTTTTTTTTTTTTTTGGTTCTAACCAGACTTCTAAGACAAATATGCAAGCCTTTTCATGCTCAAAATCTTACAGTGTAATCAGTGTAGAACAGATTGACCTTATAATACTTTTCAGATCATTGTTGCATTAAGTAGGTAATGTTGTTGGCCAAATTTTAGTTAAACATTCTCAGGCCCAGGGAGCTGTCAGAAAAACCTTCTTGTAATAAAAATCTGAAGCAAAAGTGTATTTCACTTTCTGTTAAGGGCTCTTGTCATTTACAAAACTTGTAGTACGACAGTACTTGTAAAGAACAATATAAACTTCTGAAGAATGTTTAGGACTGGAAGATATTGGTGCACTGATGACTCTTACTTTGGGAGCATGAGAATTTTTAATTAAATGATTGGGCTCGATTTGGAGTTTGAAACCTTAGTTGAGTAATGTGGGTACTTGATAGCCAGCTTGTATGTTCATTTTAAGGAAGCAAAGGGACTAAAACAATCTACTTAAAACTTACAGCTTAGAGGAAAAAATGCTGCCCTTTTTTCTTTTAGCTCTTATTTGTAAGCTCTAAACAGCAAGTTTAGAGCCTGTTAAATTGTGCATTGGGTAAGTCTGAACATATGAACTACTGAGCGCATTTCCCAGTTATTTTTCTACTCTTTCAATCTTCGGTAACTTAATGTGAATAAATCAGGTGATAAGTAAAACTAGCCTGAATAAATATATTCAGTACGAGTGAGATTTGGAGCTTTTTCAAAAGCATTAAATGCTCACAACTGCACTTAAATTCACTTAAACAGCTGTAACAGTATTTAAGAGATCCTTGGGTCTTCTTTCTTCTTGTAGAAGTTCTTAACTGGGGAGTTCCTGATTCGACCTATAGACTAAAAAATTTTCCTGAAAGCGGTGTACTTTCTTTCCATGCAGATATTTGAGATGAATTCAGTGCTGCAATAATGGTAGATCAAATGTGTAGTAGGTTCATTCACTGGATCTTAACTCAGTGGGTCTGAATCAAAAGAAAGGAAAAGTGATGTGGAGGAAAGTGACTGTTTCAAGGGTTTGATATAGAGGAAGAGATAAAATTAACAAGATTTAAACAATTCAGCACTTGGCTTTCAAGGCCGTGCAACCTGAACACGATGAAGCAAAAACCAAAAACTGCAGATATTTGTTACGATTTGTGAGGTAAAATTTGAAGAAGTTGAGGTAATTCAGAAGGTATTTTGAGATTCAAGGCAAATAATTGGATTAATATATACTTCTGCTACTGCACTGTGGGTAAAATGTCCATTGAGGTCCTGCTTCAGGCAAAACTCAGAGAAGTTACAGAAGTTACATTCTGCTTGCTACTGGAATACGTGGTTATTTATTTATTTATTTTTATTTTTTAATGGTAATACACTAATGATGATGATATTGGAAAAACTGAAAACAAATGCTCAAAAAAACTGTTGTGGCTCTGTTCAAAATTTTGGAACGTGATACCTGCTAGTAAAGTGTTCTAACATGCCTTAGGTGTGGAGTGTAAAGGTAAAGGAAAGATTGAGTCATTGTGCAGATTTATCAATGGAGAGTATTAGTTTTATTTTTGTTGTTGTTTTCAGTGGTTCCTGTTATAGCTGCTATCGGTAAGGAGGAGAAAAGTTTAGGCTAAAATAAAGTACAAACTAACGGAGTAACTTCTCTTACAACAGTTTACTTAGGGTTTTGGCAATTTCAAGCTCAGGAATATTGGTATTTCCGAAGCTTGGCTTTCTGAGGTAATTTCTTCTGAATTGCGGAGCTTCAAGAAGGAATGGAAACGCAAGTCCTAGTGCATACAATACGCACGCAGACAGGGGGGGATGGAGATGTTTGCCCTCAGACTTTGTGTCTGCTTCAGACCTTTGTTCTGCATGGTTGTCTAAGCCAACTTTTTTCTCACGTAAAACCTGATGAGACGTACCCAACAGCTGGAAGGCGGGGATTAATGTGATACTGATGTTTGCTTTGCACAGGATTTTTATTGCATGTTCTTTGTTCCTAGAGTCCTGCTCTGCTTCCCTTGTTGTGTCTTCAGAACAGCTGTTTTGAAAAGCAGCGTCTCATCACATAAGATTTCCTTAAGATGCAGAGCAAGATTTTTAGATTAAGGGAATAGTTATCAGAATTGTTTTTCTGCTCAAAAAATCTAATGCTCGATACCTTGAGTTTTGTTTAATTGAACTGTACAATAGAAACAGCTAATGATTTCTACCTTATTTCTAGGGATCAGATGATTGCCTTGTAAAAATCTGGGCAACAGATGATGGCAGGTTGTTGGCTACCCTGAGAGGGCATGCAGCTGAAATATCTGATATGGCGGTGAACTACGAGAACACCATGATAGCTGCTGGAAGCTGTGATAAAATGATCCGAGTTTGGTGCCTTCGAACTTGTGCACCCTTAGCAGTTCTGCAGGGCCACAGTGCATCTATAACATCATTGCAGGTAGGTTTTCACAAAGTCACCTAAGCAACGTGCATTTTTTGACTGAAAGAGAAACCACTTGAGAACGTTCTAAATTATAATGTCTATGGAGCAACTAAGCTGTGAAAGAAGAAGAAATTTTCATGGTACTTGTTGCAAAAATGACACATTTATTGTCACAGTATCTGATCCTAGCAAAATGCCAGGCATAATCTATTTGTGGGAGGGAAAACTAAAAAAGAAACTTCTTAAAAAATTGCATGATGCATGTGGACAGTTCTGTTATGAAGTATGATTGCTTTGCAGACTGTGATTTTGAGTATCAATATATTGAGTAAAAACTGCAGTCAGTGCTGAACAGTTTGCTCTGCTTCCTGTCTGGATTTGCTTGCTATTGTACAGTTTGGGCTGTGGGGAAGGAGAAGCCAGAGTGCTTTTCATGCAAGCCAGAAAGATTGTTCTGAAGGGAGAAAGTTATTCTAAGAAGCACTGTGTTGTTGGAGTACTGACCTCTTCTTTTTTTTCCCCATCCCTCCTCCCAGTTCTCTCCACTATGCAGTGGCTCAAAGAGATACTTATCTTCAACCGGGGCAGATGGAACAATATGCTTTTGGCTGTGGGATGCTGGCACCCTTAAAATAAAGTTAGTTGTTATTTTATTTATTGCTATTTCTTTGTTTGTGATTAAGAATGATATACAAATGTTGTAGAAAGGTCTTGTCACTGGTTGTTTTGCTGTCTGTGCAATAGTTGGATTGATCCTTTTCTGGGGGTTGCTATAACTTGCTTGCTTGTCTTTTAAGGACTAAGTTAAAAACATAAGTAATCACTGAGGGTTTTTGTACGGTTAAATCAATATACAACCACTTGTTTCTGTGGCTCTGTTAATAAAGCGACATGATGTCAAAGTTGGCTTTTTTGTTCTATCAAAAATTCATGAAAGTTTTGACAAAATGTGCTACAAGATGATTGCAATTTAGACTTGAGAATCTAAGGTTTAGTGGGAGGAGGTAATGTCCTAGCAAGAAATTAGGATGGGGTTAATTTTCGTTTGTTTGTCTGTCATTTTCTTCTCTCCAAAACCTGTTTTTAGTTGCTCTTTATGTAGCATGGTAAGGAGGGTGACACTCATGGGCTGTGTATTGGTGGATGAAGTTGACTCTGAAGTTTCTGCCTTCAAAGGATAAGATATGAAAAGTCTTGCCAGAGCCCTCAATTCGTTTTTTATTATGAGTATTAAAAATAACTTCAGTGGCTTTCAAATGCTTTTTCTCCTTCTTAATTGCAAAACATCTGGAGCGTAAAATTAGAAATAGTTAATAATCACTGATAATTCAGTTTTGAGCAAGGATCTCTTCCCTTTTCCTAATTAGAGAGTAGTAGAATTAATGAGACTTAAATGGCTTACGCTATATAAGCTGGGAGATGAATATTTGGGTGAATCTTAAAGTTAGATGAAATTTGTCTTGAGGTTAAGAAAAAAAAAAAGTGAGCTGGTTTCAGTTATGGTAAGGATTCTCAATTCCTAGATGTAGAATACAAATTTTAACACTTAGAAAATATTAAAAGAATTAAGGTGTTGTTTTTTAATTTTTATAATGCTTTCATATGTAAAGAGCCACAGAAAAGTGTCTGCAATTAAAAAAAAAAAAAAAAAAAAATTCAGTTCAGTTGCATGTTGCAGAATTGAAAGGAGTTAGTCTCGTAACCCAAGTCATGCAGCAGTTCATGTTGCTCAACAGGAGAGTGCAGAGTAGCTTTGTGAGAGGAGCTTGCGCTGTCCTTAACAACTGTTCTGGTATTTTCTGTGTTGAGTTTGAGAAGATAGAGGGACCCTTTAAACTATGAGGTCTACTCTGAAAGTAATGCTTCCTATTTTATTATGTTGGCCCATGATGTCAGAGGTGGATGGAGGTGATATGGCAGTAGAGGTTGAACCTTACTGTGAGTATTCCATTACATTTTGTTGTCATGTGACAGATAACAGCCGAGGGGCAGTCTAACAAAATGGTGTCTGAGATGGAAGTCCATATAAAGCCAAGGTGTGTCATTAGGTTCCTCTGTGCAGAAAAGATGGCACCTCTTGACATTCATCGGCATTTGCTGAATGTTTATGGAGACTGAACAGTGGATACACAGTGGGGTGGTGGGTGGTGCGTTTCAATGGTGACAGTGGCGACGTGGAAGACAAACTGTGTTCTGAAAGGTCATGTACAGCTGTGACACCACTCAGTGAAGAGCATCTCAGTCAGCTCGTCCATGCTAATTGGTGGATTATGGACAGGGAACTTTGGAGATTAATATTAGCTTGAATGCATAGGAAACAATGGTGGCAACATTAGAGTACACAAAGCGTGCACTAGGTGGATCCATTCAGTGCACCATACTCAAATTCGTTAGGATCTGTTGAAGCAATACAAGGCCGAAGGTGACAGTTTCTCGGATTGCTTCATTAACAGTGACAAGATGTATGTTATCACTATGAAGCTGAAGATAAAATGTGTAATCTGTGGAGTGGGGACATGTCAATTTTCAGCACTGAAGATGTAGCCCTCAATAGGTAAAGTGATGTGCCCTGTCTTTTGGGATAGGAAAGAGGTGACCCACCCCGATTTTCTGGAATCTGGACAAACCATCAATTCTGACTGCTATGTTGTGACAGTGATTGTGCTCAAGGTTTGAGCTTCAAGCATCAAGCCAAAGACAACAACTTTTCTTTTGGAGCGTGATAATGTTGAGTCCCATACCAGTTTGAGTACTGTAGAGCACACTGCCGGTCTTGCTTGGAGACTGTCCTACCACTCAAACGTTATAGTCTGGATTTGATGCCTCCAGTCTTCTGTCTACTTGGGCCAAGGAGGGACAGACTAGTTGTGCAACATTTTGCTAGCAGTGAGACCATTATAGCCGCTGTGAAACAGTCAATAACTTCTACTGTTGCAGGTTTTTGCAAGTGTAGCATGCAAGCTCTTGTTCGTCACTGGCAAAGATGTGCAACTAATGGTGCTGATTGTGTTGATTTTTTTTTTTTTAATCATATTTATTTATTTATTTTTGTAGCTGAGAATGTGCTCTATCAGGTAGAGTAATTTTGCCGTTTGTAGCTGTTGGGTTTCCGTAGAAATAAATAGGAGGCATTACTTTTGGAGCAACCTACGTATGTCTTTTCAGTCTGGAAAGTGAGTGCATGAAATGAATAAGACCTGTACATTTGCTAGTGTCCTGAAGAGGTTGTATAGTAATTGGCTGTGGAATCTTCTTGTGCTGGAGGATATTAACTGAAACTAGCTAATTTACAGTCAGAAGGAGATGGCTTTTAACATGCAGCTAAGTTATGGAACTCCTTGTCACAGGTTATTATACGTGTTGAAAGCATAAAAGAAGAAACTGAAAGTTATCACTGTGTACTTTTTTTGTTCTTACACCCTGTTTCGGCTACAGCTGGAAGTAGGAAACTATTTGTAGGTATTTGTTCCAGTTTAGTGTAGTTATGCATTTGAAATACTTCATGCTTTTTCATGAAAACTAGAGCATATACTAAATCTAAATAGGAAATGTTTGTGTCTTTTAGGACTGGAACATAGTTGTATGTTACATAGCATACTGAAATAGTTGCACGCTCAGAAAAGTCTCCATGTCTCTCTTCTTAACCTTGTTAGTTACAGGAGGTTCTACTTAATTTTCTAAACTATAAACTTTTCTAAGTGTGATCATTGTAAATCATGTTAATCATACTGTGAAACTGGGAATCCAGTGTAGTTTTTCACCAGAAGACCTTGTTCATGGACACTCAGCCTCAGTAATAGGTAAGGATTATTGTAGTTTTGGATGAGGCAATTGTCCCTTTGAAAAGTTACCAAGCACTGGAACAACCATCCTAGAGAGGCTGTGGAGTCTCTTTCTCAGGAGATATTCAAAACTCACCTGGATGCTTTCCTGTGCATCCTACTGTAGAGAACCTGCTTTAGCTGGAGGGTTGGACTAGATGTCTGACCAGGGGTCACTTCTAACCTCTATGAGTTTGATTGTTCTTCCTTATACCTTTAGATCTAGATCTACTTCCAGAACTATGGAAACATGGCGTATTCCTTCCATATCCATTCAGTGATGTGCTGGGGAAAATGAGTAGTAGCAGTAAAACTGTCAAAGGAAAGAGGAATCTTATTCCTAAGGCCCATTATGAAGCATTTTGTATGTTTGTTGTTGTTGGGTTTTTTTTTGTTTGTTTTGTTTTCTTATAGGCCTTATCCTGGTTCTTCTATTTTTATTTTTTTTATTGCAAATGTTGTCAACGGTTTACGGGCTGGTTCAGCCCAGTTCCATGACAAGCAGAGTGGAGGGATCTGTGGATCTGCACCTCTGCAAAAAAAGGAAACAGGGGACACCAAAATAATTAAAAACAGTGGCCACGATCTGAGGAGAAACAAACTAATTTACTAAATATATTATTGGAATGCAAAATAACACACTATAATACAGTATAATCAGAATTGAAGCTAATAAATCAAATATAATGAGAGAGAGAATGTCCAAAAGGTGGATAGGCCTCACCACAACGCTGAGGCGAGATGCGCAGTCCAGTTGAGCAGCAGGGAGACGGGAGCAGCGCCCACAACCAAGGGCAGGCGAGAAAGAGGAATCAGGTGGCCTTGCCAGAAGTTAAACCTCCTCTCCCTGACCACAAGGTCCCCTGGGGAATGGAGTTCTTCTTCTCTTCAGGGCAGGTACCCAGGACTTGAGCATTGACAGTTAAAGTCCCAGTGCCCCACATGATATTATGATGTGGAATATCGAAAGGCAAAAATCACAAAACCATGACAAATGTTTATTTCTTTAACTCTTCTAAACATAAGGACTTCTGCAATCTATTTGCCAGTAGCTCTGTTGCTATATTAATTGTATCTCTGAAATTAGAGGCATCCTATGTTGGTATCCCCTTGTTTGGATAACTTCATTGGGGCATGTTGAATATTTTGTTCACACATAGCCTGGAACAGGAGATTTCTGGCAATGGCTCTATTTTCATAAACTGCAGGAAGATTCTTTACAGTAGATATTTGTGCCATAGAATGAATGGCAGGCCACAAAATTCTCAGTGTTGCTCAAAAGAGAACGACTAACTGTTCATATGATTCTGTGACTGGTGTGGGTTCATGATGTTCACTTGCATGGAGCCACCTGTGTGCTCCTGTTCTTTCAGTGAAGAGCTTTCCAATCAGGCAGTTAAAGAGTATGCCCAGAGGCATTCCAGTAACATTCCAGTCGTATTATTTTTGTTTCTAAATAGAGAAGTGGGTCAGATAATTGTTTCTGTAGATGAAGAGGTCAGTGAAAGTGGTTCAAAGGGAAATAAATAAGAAATAAAGTGATCAACAACTTCCCCCACATTTAATCTCTGTTACTATTCTGGGTTAGAATAGAAGAAACAAGAATTGCATCCTTTTTCAAGTGACAGTGGGGAGAAGAGAAAATCAATCGTAGATCATCAAAACTTGATGGATAATTGCCTCAGGTATGAGATAGAATTGTTGTCAGTGCACAGAAGTTAAGTAGCTTGCACTGCAAAATATTTGTGTAAGTGCTTCAAGGAAGATGCTGTGTTTTCTCGTTATTCTTATGCCACCTATTTGGATCATGAGTTTCCAGTGTTAGTCTGTTATTGGCAGACCAAGTGCACAGAGCAGCAGAACTGTCTCACAGATTTGGATAGAGGAACTCACTGTACTGCCTTCTGTCTGCTCTATTTAAAAAAAAAATCAGCAAAACATGCTGATTATTTTGACACCTCTCCTATGAAGAAAGGTTGAGGGAACTGGGCTTCTTTAGCTTGGAGAAGAGAAGGCCTTGGGGGAGACCTCATAGCCTTCCAGTATTTGAAAGGAGCATATAAACAGGAGGGGTACATCTGTTTGCAAGGGTAGATAGTGCTAGGACAAGGGGGAATGGTTTTAAACTGAGACAGGGGAGGTTTAGGTTAGATATTGGGAGGAAGTTTTTCACCCAGAGGGTGGTGACACACTGGAACAGGTTGCCCAAGGAGGTTGTGGATGCCCCATCCCTGGAGGCATTCAAGGCCAGGCTGGATGTGGCTCTGGGCAGCCTGGTCTGCTGGTTGGCAACCCAGCACACAGCAGGGGGGTTGAAACTCAATGATCATTGTGGTCCTTTTCAAGGTCCTTTTTTCAAGACAGGCTATCCTATGATTCTGTGATTCCTATTTTGGACAAGCAAACGTTAGTATTTCAACTATCTTCAGGGTGGTAGCATACTTGGAATTTGCATTTTTGTGCAGAAAGCAGCTCATGTTAAGGGAACTGGTCATACACTAAAATGCACATATGCTGGACCTTGTTCGCTGGTGGTTTGTAAACCAAGAGTGCTCAAGTTGGATGAGGTTTTTGTTTGTTTGTTTGTTTTGTTTGTTTGTTTGCTTTGGTTTGTTTTTTTCTTTTTTGAGAAATCTTGCTTAAGCTGCTTTTTGTCCAGAGCGAGGTTAGACTGCATGGCTTGGTTGTATAACCATTCTTGCACTAGGAGCGTGCATTGAAGATAAATTGTGAGCTGTTTGTATGGGGGATTGTTGTCCTTGGTTGAAGCAAATAGTGCAAATTAAGTTCTTTACTATGAGTGGTGAAGTGCCAGAACATACTACCCAAAGAGATTGTAGATGCCCTGTCCCTAGAGGTGTTCAAGGCCAGATTGGATGGGGCCCTGGGCAGCCTGGTCTACAGTTGAATGGGGAGGTTGGTGGCCCTGCCTGTGGCAGGGGGGTTGGAGATTTGTGATCCTTGAGGTCCCTTCCAACCTGGGCCATTCTGTGTGAAATTGCTTTTTTGACTGCTGCTCTTAGTTCAAGTTGTGTTTTGATGGAAGCCTTTCATTTTGGGAGGAAAATGGCTTACCAGGGCTTTCCTGGACCTGTGAAGTGTTGAAGGTATCTTAGTGTCTTTCAACTGCTTGTATAATTTGAGTGAGATGGCTTGTTAAAACATAACAATTAACTTTCCAGATGTTATCCTTTCGTCCACCTCCCTTACTTCCCCAAGTTACTGATTCTCCAGTTTGTCATATAGATTGCGGTCTGCTGTAGTGTGAAAGAATGCCATAATCTTGTTTCCTAATGCCTAAAATAGCACACATTAGAGAGATGTAAGCTGGAGAATTTGATTATCTGAACTAGAACGTAAGTGCATACTTGCTCTGTTTTGCAGCTGTCCTAACTCCAAAGGCAGAGTCCACAAACCACAGTGGAAGAGAACAGCAGCCTATTTTTCTATTTACACTTGCTCCATGTTATGTAAGCTGCATATTGAATCATCTGATAGTTCATTTTAAATTAGTGTCTCACTTAAGAAGGATTTGAACTGTTTTGTGTGATAGATCTGTCTTGTTTAATGTGTCTTGTAAAGACTTTTGGCAGGGAGATGTTAAGAGTAATCTTAGCTCCTGAAGGAAGGTTCAGAAACAACCTGTACTGAATGGACAGTTAGAGAAAAATTTCTTAACTGCTGTTCACAGCATGTTTGTATATAAACTCTTATCAGGGTTTAATGCTTACTACTTTCTTTGAGATAGCGATAGCTGATAGGTGGAGAAAGGTCTCTTATGCATCTGCCTTCAGCTGAGGAAAAAAAAAAAAAAAAAGCCATTTTGATTTAAAAAGAGAAAACTTTAGATAAATCATGAATATGCATTCTTTTATGTTAAACAGATCTTTAGTGATGACACTTGTGGGTGTAATGCTGCTGTTCTCGAGCAAGTTTATTCTTTAAGGACCGAAGTTTGCAGATGGTATGCTGTGCAAGACCACCTACTGATCTGGGGTTGCTGCAGTTTGTGAGCAGAACTGAAGTGATTGAAGGACCTGATTTAGTTTTGTTTTTATACATGCGTTCTTAAAGTGCCAAGTCACTGATTCTTTAGTTCTGCTTGCACATCAGCTATTGAAATACCTGAGAGAGGAAGCACAGTGCAGGAAGTAAAATTTCTTAAATGCTTCCAGGCATTATTGTAACACTCTGTGGGGGTTATCTGGAACTAGTGCTACCTGCAAATAATACGTGCTTTCTGATGAAACTCTTATCTTCTAACACTGTAAAAAACGTGAAATTTTATTTACGTTTTCTTGTATATGTATTTGCCTACAAAGAGTGCCAGACTTTATTTCTTTCTTTTAGTAAAAACAGCCACATATAGCAGGAGAAAACCAGAGCTCTGATAAACTCAGTGGTTTGAAACTGAACCTTGGGTAACTGGCTCTGATGTCTTCTCTTCCACTTCACAGGTGACTTAAAGGAAAATGTTTTCTATGTCAATATTTGAGGGGAGAGAGATATGGGATTTAAGTTGTGGCACAGTTCTGAGTGATACATGCAATTGCTTGGTCCATATGTGTGTCTTAGTTTCCTGAAGATCAGATCATGAAGCATAGTCACAGCAAATGGTTTATAGATGGGCAGCCATCTGTTCTATCATATTTAATTTTGTCTCTCTGTGCTTTATTTCTAAGATTCTGGCTTTTCTGTTTAGGAAAAAAATTACTTCATAGTAGGAAATTATTTCACTGTTTCTTTTATTGTAGTCCGAGGCCAACAAAGTTTACGGAACGCCCTCGGCCCGGAGTCCAAATGATCTGCTCTTCTTTTAGCGCTGGTAAAAGACTGATTTGTTGATTTATTTAATCTTTGTCTCAGTTTAAGAAACCATTTGGAGAATAAAGTGAAGTCCAACGCAGTTACTGTAGCATATTTCTTGTTAGTAAGATGAGACTGAGTTAAAATGGTTACTGAAAGAAATGTTAAATATTAATAATGTTCTGAATCTGTGCATTATTATTCTGGTAATGTAGAAGTTCTGGACAACAGTTGAGCATAACATGTCGAAAGGAAGCTTCTTGGCCACAGTCCTTTAAAAAGTGGTAAAATCTTCTTCCTCAGAGCAATTCTGAAAGTTATCTTCACCTAAAATGGAATTTGTAGGGGTTTTACTAAGAAAACATTGATTAACAGGTTCTTATGCTCTGAACTTCATTGATTCCTGAAACTGGCAATTGGTGAAGAATGCAGTGTAAACAATGAGATAAAATAGTAAAATGGCAGAGAAGTATTTTCAGAATTACTGGAGTTCTTTTTCCATTCTATTTACTCTAAGACTGAGGCCAGTGAGAGCCAAGTCACAAACAAATCACTGTAGTTAGCTAATCTTTTGAATATGTCTCCAGATGCCTATTTATGTGACAACAAATGTGAGGTAATTAAACACAAGTTTAACTTCTGAGTTTCCAACCTTTTTTGGTTTTACTGAAGGGTCAGCTATAGACAAAACTGAAATGAGATACAACTGTACAGTTAAGAGAATAAATACAGATATTTAATCTTAGGCACATCTGAAAATTCTGCAATATCATTAGCTTGCCCATTTTTGTTATTATTACTTACCCGTATTTTCTTTTCTCAGGTGGAATGTTTTTGGCTACTGGGAGTACAGATCACATCATTAGGGTTTATTTCTTTGGATCAGGTCAGCCAGAGAAGATATCAGAGTTGGAGTTTCATACTGTAAATACTTTATTAAAATTACATATGTATTTGATTTAAATAATGATTTTGTTTAGTTTGGAATCACTTTTGATATTTTTTTTTTTTTTTTTTTTTTTTTTTTTGCATAGGACAAAGTTGACAGCATTCAGTTTTCTAATAGTAGTAGCAGGTAAGCAAAACATTTATTTATTCACAGCTAGTCTTTTGACTTGGAAATTTGTAAATATCAGCTTCTTGATGTAGTTAGAAAAAACTAAGTTTACTATATGAACCTCAACACAGAAAACATCTGTAAGTTGTTTTAAATAATATCTTTCAGCTTTACACCAGTCTTCATTGCAATGAATTGTGTGAACTAAGGAATGTAGAAATATATATATTTTTTACTTAATATGCATATATATTCTCAGTTTGTTCAGTACCTTTCCTATTACCCAACAATCACTTAAATCAGACAAGTCTTTGTTTAGCTACCCTTTATAAATGCATCATTGAAATTCTGGATTTTGAATGTGAAGAATACTAAAGAACATACCTCATTTTATTGTGAAATTTCTGATATTTCATTCGAATGATGCTGTAACATAAACTTTTATTGCAAAGCAAGCAGTTGAAAAACAAGCTGCATTGTGTTCCTCTGTCCACCTCTTTCTCTTCCTTCTGACCCCCAAAAAAGTTGAAGGTGGGGAAGAAGCTCAAGCTTGTTTGCAGCTGTTCAGAGGCAGTTGTTCAAATAAGTATTGTGATAGATTTTGTGTGTTTTACATTGAGACTCAGCTTTCAGTTCTTCTCGCACTTCAGTTTTTTCACCTCTTAAATTACTTCCGCAGCTTTACATGCAGTGATAGGTGAGTTACAGTGTTACAGTGCTCACTGGGCTCTTAAGTCCCAATGGCAGAGCAGTGTGGTAGCTGTGCAAGGTGCACTATGGATCCAAGTGCTATTAGTCTCTAAGGGGCTCGTATTAGGGAAGAAAATTCCAATTTTTACAGGCCTTTAAATATTTACTGGTCCATGAAGTGTGTTTTCACCTCAACCTGGTAGTACAGCATTCTTACAATATTTGGACTCTGAATACTTCAGCTTACTTTTCTGAGTTCTGAGTTGTCTAGCTTCCACCTCTTTTTGTGCAATGGTCTTCATTATCTAATTTACTTTTTTCCCCTTTTCTTAGATTTGTGAGTGGAAGCCGTGATGGAACAGCACGAATCTGGCAATTTAAGCGAAGGGAATGGAAAAGCATTTTGTTAGATATGGCTACTCGCCCATCAGGGTAAGTAATATCAAATATTCTGTTACCCCGTAGATACTTGAAGTCTGTTGATTTTTATTTGCTGTCATGTTGGGGAAAAAAAAAAGCCACCTGTAATGATTATGGATTAAATGTGCAGTATGCTTGTCTAGCTCTTGAAATCAAATATTTAACTACATATTTAACTGTGGAAGTTAGTTTGTCCTGATAATAGCTCCATTAGTACATTGGTTAGATTAAGAGAGTAGAAGATACACAAGACACGTTGAAGGCTAAACTCATGCTTTTTACATAGGCTTCTGGACCAAGTAAACCAAGTTAGATCTCTTACTGAGATTTCTTGCATTCTGGTGATATTTAAAAGTTATTGTGGAATCTATGTGCCCAGAAAAGGGGTTTTGAGTTCTTTCATACCATGTGCCAGAGCAAATAAGTTACCTGCCATGTAATGGGTTCTCACTTGGCTGGAACAATCTGAGAATTCACAAAGCTTTGTAGGTATGGAAAACTTCTGTACAGTAGACTAAGTGATTAAAAAGACTTAAGATGGAGACTTTGTAGAAGATAATTATTTTTACATGGAGGAAACATTTTCCAACATTAGATTATTAGAAAGATTTAAAGTGATTTAATGGGTAAATCTTTTCCGTAAGCTGATCATATTGAGTGGTTTCAAAGAGTTTATTGAATAAGAATATATATATATTCAAAAGTAATTCCATGAAAGGACATCTGAAAGACTAAGAGAGGGGTGGAAGAGATGGCTAAATGAGCTCTTATAATTTACTTAAAAGTTTGGATCAGAGGGTATCTTGTTATGGGTAGGCACAATAAAACATGAGTATAAAACTTTTGGATGAAAGTCTGATAAAACTTTTGGATGAAAGTACATTACCACTAGAAAATGAAATCTGAGTTATTTTTCCTTCAAAATGTAGCCTATAAAAATGACTGGTTTTAACTGATCCTGGAAAAAATAGCAATGGGTTCTTTTTTCATTATGGTCAAAATGCAGAACTTCTTAGAGAAACTGAGCTGCTTGCTTCAGCCTTGTAGTTGAATTCTCATTTGTCTTTTTTGATTAGGAGAGTAACGTGCAATTCTGCACTTTGTGGTGTGATCTTTTTTTGCATAAGCACAATTTTATCAGAAGTAATGAAATTGGTGCACTGAAAGGAAAGAAAGAATTCAGCCTATAAGACGACTCCTGTGTTCTGCATTGTATCTAGAAAGGAATCTAGCTATAGTGGCATGTTGTACTTTTGAACTGTACACTATTTATAATTAGATCACGTGTTGTATTTCAATGTAGAGTGCTCTGAAAGTAATGCCTCCTATTTATTTCTGTGAAAACTACAGCTGATACAAAGAGCACAATAACGCTTTGATAAAGCAAATTCTCAGCTACAAAGCACTCATTTCAACATACTCACTGCTATTAGCTGTGCATTTTTGCCAGCAATGAGCAAGAGCCTGCACGCTGTGCTTTTAAAAATCTGCACCGATGGTGGTGACCCATCGTAGTAGCTGAAACACATTACACACCACCTCACTGTGCTCACATCCACTGTTTGGTCTCCATCAGTGTTCAACAAAAGTCAATGAGTGCCAGTGGGTACAATTGTTTTCTGCATGGAGGAAGTCAATTACACACTTTTGCTTCATCTGCACTTCCATGTCAGGTGCTGTGCTGTCAGACTGCCCATCAGCTGCCTTCTGTCAAATCTGTCATGGAGCAACAAAACGGAACAGAATATTGGCAGGAAGGTTCAATCTCTACTGCAGTACCACTGACATCTACCAAATTATTAAAATAGGAGGCATTACTTTCAGAGCTTCCCTTGCAAATGGAAGATTCTATATTTTTTGTCCACTTTATTTGTTTGAATTTGGATTACATTTCAGGAGGGTAGTGTTCCATTTTTATAAGGATAAAAAAAGAAAATGCATGCAAGAGTAAGTGCAACTTGCTGATAGTAAAGTGTTATAAGTGTGGTGATGTTATAGTTTCTAAGTTTCCTGAGAATTTTAACTCATTTGAAAGTATGAGAATACTTCTTTCTGTGTTTATAAGTACTTAACACTGATATTCTCCAGGCTAAATTACTGTTCGCTAATTGACTAGTTTGGATTTTTGTTCTTCAGCTAACTCAACAACTGCTATGGAATTAAACTGTAGTTTGGTATATATAATGTAGTTTTTAAAATACTGAGAGGACTCTGTAGTCTTTGTTTAAGAACTGATAGCTCTTTTTCTGATTGTATGTATTGAAAAATGGGTAGCATCTCATATTGCCATGTTCTTGAAGAATTAACACTGATATTCTCAATAATAAAGTAATATACAGGTGTATTATCTTATTATCATTTGTTTTGGACAGAATGTTTTTTAGCAGACTGGAATTGCTTTGAAGCTCTTCTTTTTCTTTTGTTTTAGACAAACTCTACAAGGTGTAGAAGATAAAATTACAAAATTGAAAGTGACCATGGTGGCGTGGGACCGCCATGACAATTCTGTTATAACTGCTGTCAATAACATGACACTGAAAGTTTGGAATTCTTTCACTGGCCAACTCATTCATATTCTCATGGTAAGGTGCTCTACCTTGATTTAGCAATCTGAAATGCAGACTTCATGTGTATGTAATCAAAATTCTTCTTCACTCATTTTTCTCTGCAGCTTTAGCAAACGTATTTACATGATTCAAGTGCAGTTAAGATATCTCAGCTGGTTTGTAGAAAATAAAACTTATAAGTTGCAAATTGCCATTATTGTTGAGATGTCTGGAACTAATTTTTTACTTTTTTCTTAAAATACTATCTTGAAAGGACAGAAGTTGTTTCTTTTGACGTTTGTTTAGTTAGGCAGATATTTGAAATACAGTTAATAGAGTTATGCTGATTAAACACAGACATTTGTTACTGCAATCTCAACATTCCATGAATACGAAAAAGCAGTCTTCTAAAGAAAATAAAGTTTTTTGCTGATGGCTTTTACTTATTTTAGTTGAGAAAATAGGTAACTGTGAGATGAGAATGTTTTAAGCAAGGTTGATATTAACTCTGGAGGTGTAATTATCTAACTGTAGTATTACAGTTGATTCTTGACTGATTCTAAATTAAATTTCTAATTAAACCATACCTAAGCAAATTGAAGTCTACTAAGCATTAAAACAAAAAATATCAAATTTGAACTCTGGTCTTTTAAAATCATGATGAAAGTTGTGGGACAAATTTGTTCTGAAGCTGTCATACTTGACATACTTATTAAAAATCTAAAATTGCAACTGCATAGAGAAGAGAGTAGTATGTAGATACAAAAAAAAAAACCCAACAAAAAACAAACAACAGACTGTAGTCAAAGTAATGCTGAACATTTTCATAGATTAACGATGTAGTTGTTTGCATTACCATATTGAATGGTATTTGAGATAATCCAATAGTTCATCTTGCTATGTCTTTAATTTCAGGGCCATGAAGATGAAGTGTTTGTACTTGAACCTCATCCATTTGATCCAAGAGTTCTCTTCTCTGCTGGACATGATGGGAATGTCATAGTTTGGGATTTGGCAAGAGGGGTCAAAATCCGGTCTTACTTCAACATGGTAATTACTATGCTTTATGCAGATATGCCAGTGCAGCCTTTCTAAACTTTTTGCTTTTAATACATTTTTGTGTAGGCCATCTTGAAGCATGCATTTGTAATATATAGGCCAAGGTCCTGCATCCAGGAAAGTTGAGAGAAATTTCTGATCGGTGTAGTGGGACAAATACTGAATTTGTAAAATCTGAGAAGTCTTCTGGCTGTATTCCATAGTGTCATTTTTCAACGTGCTTCATCCACGAGAAATTGGAATGCTAGTTTGCATTGTCAGAGACACGTGTAAGAGACAGGGTGACAGAAGCCCTCCTGTAGTACTCTATCTCCTGCCTGGGAAACCAAGATAAAACCACGTTTATTTTTTTGTGTTCCTAATTCTTAATCTGGCTAAAACTCTTCAGGAGTCACTGATCTCAACAATGTTGTATGCTGCCTCAGCTCTGATTGAATGCAATCAGCCTTTCTGTGTAGAGCTCCTCCACATGCAGGTTTCAATTATGATCTGTTCTGCATTATGCTAGTTCTTCTGGAAGGTGGATGTAACAGGTATTTCTTTCTGCTTCTTGATATTAAGTAGGTCTTTATGTGTCATATTCTTCAAAAAGGTATTGTGTTATGCAATCCAGACCTTGCCTACTAGTTGAGAAAATTTGTAGAATGTTGTAGAATAAGCTTCATCCAGCTTTCAGCTGTAGTGGAATGACAGTTTTAGAAGCCAGCATAAGGATCATCTGAAGAAGAGATCTGGCATAGATACACTGGTTTAAAAAAAAAAAAAGAAAAGAGAAAAAGATAAACCAGCCAACCAAACAAAAGAACAAAAATCAGACATTTGGAAATGGACTCTGAACCCAGAGAAAGTTTTGACATGTTCAGTGTACAGAACAGTTCACAGAGAAGAAATTCTACTGAAATCTGTGGGAGAACCTAGACGAGTCCATTCAGGAGCTGTCAATTTAAATTATAGATGCCTGGGACTTTGGGCAACCCTTTGAAAAAACTGAAATGTATGAATCAAGGGTGAGAAGAGGCACAAACACTGAAAAAGATTGAAAATCTCATTTGAAAATCTTCAGAGTTGTAAAGAAATGTATAGATAATCAGAAGCTCTTAGCAGCTGATAATACATGCTTTGTGTTGGAAATAAATGTGGTAATATCTGCCTGTTGAGTGAGGTGAGGGAAATTGTAAATCTGGCAGTCAGTTTCACTCAAAGATGTGTGAGGCAGGTATCCTCTACAGTGAGAGGTATTTCTACAGTATGTTTCACCTGTGTTCTCTGTCTGATACTTCAAAAGACAAGAGTGGTAATCGGAATGTTTTTTAGATTACAGGGGAAAGGTGCTCCTACAGTGTGAAATTGGATTACTGTTACAGAGCTGCAACTGTTAAATGTTTTGGTTTACTAAGGTACTGCACAAATGAGCAGAGCTGCCAGTCTTTTCCCAGTTTCCTAACCAATGTGTCAACTGGGAACATCATTATATTAGCCACTATTAAATTATTCTGATAACTGCTGTTATCAAATGCTGTTCTGATAACATTTATGGGCTTGTTCAGTTTGTCATCTCATACTTCTGGAAAACAGAAAGGGATGGGAACGCTTTTACAGATTGGGTTATCTTGAATCAGATGGGGAATATAAATTAAAATAACCAAACCTGAAATTTGAATGACATGAGGTATCTACTTTGTCATTCAAGAACCTCACATCATTGCCTTGCAAAACTGTCAGTAGTAATATAACTAACACTGCCTATCTTTTTCATGGCAAAAATTCCTGTAAAAATTGCAGACCTTGGGGACATTGGTTGAATTAGAAAAATCTTAGGTGATTATTAGTGATAATCAGTCTAATCATGTATTCCCTTCCTATGTGGAATGCTTGTTATATCTAAAACATGTAAAATCCCTAAAGTGGAACTGGGTATTTATTAAGCTCTCCCCAGTCTGAATTCTTTCATTCTCAGCATCAAAAATCAAAGCTTGAGTCAGTTTGAAACTTAATTCCTTTTATCCAGTTAGTGAATGTGGAATTGCAAATCCCCTACCAGCCAGATAATTTTTTTTGTTCTGTGTTGAACTTATATCAAGGCTCAAAAACTTTGATTCCTCTACTTGTTGCAGACAGATGTCACTTGGAAACTGAGTGTCATGCAGAACATTCTCTTTGAGTTTGTTGTTTTGTTTTTTTTTTTAATTAACTTTGAATTTGCTGTTAAGTTAGTTAGCACAATCGCAACTGAATTTGAAACACCCTTGGTTTCTGCCAGATTTTAGTCTTTTTTAATTAATGATAGAGCTTGATCCCATAGGTGACTATCTACACATATGGGCTTACTCTCTGTAAGTATGTATATAATTTATATATTCCATGTTTTCATTTGTACTCTCCACTGTGATGATAGATTTTTGTATAGGTCTTAATTGCACAGCTTGATGTTTTAGTTCATGATCATACACTACTGGCTTAGCTTAAAGACTATGGTTGGCTAGACTCAAGAAATTTATTCCCTATCCTACGCCAAATAGTGAAATTTGCCATAGGAATATCAAAACTGAGATGTCTAAGGCTCTTTTAAACAATTTTGAGATTCAGCAAATAAATATTGGAGTGTATTTGCACATGCAAATACAACCATTTATTGTTGTTTGTAGCCTGTGTAATACATTTGCCATTCTTAATTTAATACAGCTGCTATTGTAACATGTGTTGTATATTTTTGTCATTCCTTTTTTCAAGGAATGAACTGAGTTTGTGGTTTTGGTGATGGAATACTAGGGTAATTTCATGGGTTGTAACTTGCTTGTATAGATGAGCATTTAGAAGACTTGCAAAGAAACCCAGGGTAATAAACCTTAAGTGATCACTACTGCTTAGTTTTAGAGCTTATGTGTTTCAGAAAAACAGTGTTTTTGCTGCAGAAGGACAGCACAAACCTAGTAAATGTTGAAACTGTGGCTCGTTACCCAGGTTCACTGAATGACTTGACAGTCTTGGCACCTGAACTCTTGGAGAGTATGGTTGTTAATCTCCAAAGTGGAATGCAATCACCCAGAACATCTTCAACGTACTGAACAGTATGTTAGATTTCAATGTCTTAATGGACACGGGCAAAAAAAAATGCTGAATGGTAAGCTCTCTTGTCAGAGCTAGTTGGTGATGGAGGGCATAGAGATGCATTTGAATTGCCAATTTTTATTCCAGTCTGCAGTGTGGCATTTGAGTCCCTTGTGTGGTAAGGCAGATTCTCAAAAACAGGAATTAAGACATAGCTAGGAGTTGTATTCAGCTCTTTGTTACTGCCTATTAGTTAAATATTCAGCTAGGAAACAGAACACTTAATTTCTGTTTACTTCTTGGATGGCAAGGTGTTCAATTCAATGCCTATTACTTACCCAGGACGTTGTCTCATCTGTGAATTTCTAGAATGGACTTTTTCCCCAACATACTCTTGAAGTTGTGCTGCTACAGAGAGGTGTGAATCTTGAATCTGAATTGGTATGTTGGGTTGGGTACATCTGTTCTAGGTAAATTGAAACCTTTGGCTCCAAGCTTTGTAAAAGCTTGAATTTGCAAGATTAGTGCTCTGTTAGGCCATTTAAAAAATAATAATAAAATGTGTTCACCACTCAGTTGTCATAGTGCCCGTTTTCTTTCAGATGTCCTTCCTCACTGAGTTACTTTTCATTCGACAAGAGTTTTGGTTTATTAGTATTTGGTTCCAGTATTGTCACTTGAATGGTGTGTGCTGTAACTTGGCCTAATACTTAAAATTCCCATAGGCCTTAACAAAAGTTTCTCAGTTCTAAGAATGTTTGATGGGACAGAAAACTACAGGAACTTGAGAGTCTTCCAGATCAAAAAGGAGGTACTTAATAACATTGGGAAGAGGCAAAAGTCTTGGTTGGTTTGGATTGTTTTTTGTTGGTATTATAATCACACATAAAGTGTTTGAGTTTGACTCCAAATATCTTTGTGGTATTGGAGTCATGCCCTCGATTTTTTTCTTTGATTTCTGTGACTTCCCTTCTGCAATAACTGACAGGGCTGAAGTCTGCTGGCTCAGACTACTTGCAGCAAGCTCTCCTTCTGTCTGGAGCTTTAATGAGTAGGTTTCTCCTGCAGAAAGGCAAATGCTACTTTATGTCACGGATGGGCTGCCCAGGAGAAGTATGTTTAAAGGAAAAAAATCTTCCCTAGACTATTTCAGGATATGTACTAAAAGGCCTTTCACTTTGTTGTGTGGAGTTATTTTTTGTTTTTGTGTTTGGTTAATAATTTGGTTTGCAGCATAGCCTAACAGTTGCAGGAACATATGGTGACTGCCATTACTTGCAAGTATGCAGCTGAGAATATGATTACTGTAATACAGTAGCAAGAATGAAGGACTAGGGATGGGTGGGAATTTTCCCAGTCTTTGTTAATTGTAGAACTTTTTATTTTTATTTTTGCACTGTTAGCTTCAAATATAATTGCTTGAATCGGATACTCAATTAAATATTGTAAGTAGTCATTGCAATTATTGTAAGCTTTTCATATTGGTTAACAGAGTCTTTCTGACTTTATGTTTAAAATAAAAGCTTTATGCTTAAAATAAAGAAAAACTGCTTTGTGTAAAGTTGAAATTAATAAGCAGGAAAGTAGGAGTACTAATACCTATATTTAAAAAACAAAAAGGTTCTCCTGATATATTAAAAACCAAAAACTACAACAACAACCCACTCCAAAAACACCAAGCAAGACCAACCAACATCTTACGTGATGAGATATTGTTCTTCGGACTTCCTGGATTGACTCCTTGCGAGTTGAATCTTGGAGAAGTTAGGCTCTGTACAGCCATTAGTAGGCTTCTTTACATCTCATGTCGTGCACGTGCCTCAGGAGCTCCTATGTGCTTGAACTTGTTAGTTTCAGACATTTGCTTGTAATCATGAAGTTCTACTTCTAATGCTTGTGAAGAATTCATTTGGATCAATTCCTGTTTCTACCTTAGCTTTAAG